TGTTCTAGCTGGTCACTTGACCGGTTGGAACGAGTGGAGTGTGATGACTTCACTCTAATCGGTATTTGAGAACGAGGGAATCTCAAGATACTGGGTTGTATTGCTGCATTTTACATATGAGAACGAGATGAGCATGGATACTTTGGGTTTCGATTTGGAAGAGTTGTTACGAGAAGAGATTATCTGGAGCGAGACAAGGTTGGAACGAATGATTTGGAACGGCGCGTCTAACATTGATGGAACGATGGTGATTTGTTAAAGATTGTGGAACTATAAGAAGTTTAGGGACGCAAAATTATTTTGATTTAGAGGAAAAGGCAACGAACTGATAGTCGGACGACTACTACTCGCGTTAGCAGGAAGACTACTTCTTGGTGGCTTTCTCTTTAACAACTGGAGCTTTCTCAGGAACAGCTTTCTCGTTGTCTCCTTCGTCGTCAGCCTCTGTCTTGTTGTCTTCGTCCTCTTCGTCCTCGTCCTCCTCGGCCTCTTCGTCTTCCTCGGCCTCTTCGTCGTCCTCAACCGCTTCGTCTCCATCTTCTCCGTCGTCAGCGTCGGCGTTGACTTCCTTAGAGTCGGTAACAGTGGAGGTCTCGACAGCAGCGGCAGGATCGGCGGCTTTAGTCTCGTCTTCGTCCTCCTCTTCGAGATCGGACCATTCGGCACGCTTGACCTCCGTCTTGGTCGGACCACGGACTTCGGGAAGTTGGTACGTGCCATTCTTCAACTCTGTCGCGACGGTAAGCTGGGTCTGCTTCACGGTAGCGTCGCTGATGAGGGTCCTCCAAGGTTCGTCACTCTTCGACCCTACCCACGTGTCCTTGGGCGTCACTAACGATTGGAGATGGAGACGAACGCGTGCCAGAGCCACCATGGACAGCCGAATGGCCGGCTTAGCGGTAGGGACCAGAGCCTCCGTCGTCTCCAGGAGGGCGCGAATGCTTGGGTAGCCGTAGGCGTCGATCTGCACGGGTTCCAGTGCATTAGCGATCGTGGCCTTGTATCGTTCCGGATCCTTGTCTTCGAGGGAGGTGAGAGCGTCGGCTAGAGGTCCATCGTAGTGCAGCGTCTTCGTATTGTCTCGGCCGGGCTGGCCGCCCATCCAGAACATCAACGGGCACTTATCGAGGAGCGTGAGAAAGGCATAGAAGCCCCAAGGCTTAAGGCACAAGCTCGTGAAGGCGACTCGGGCTTGAAGAGCTCGCATCTTTGCCTTCCGGCGGTTATTCTGCGCCGTCTCCGATGCCAAAGACGCGTACAGAGCCCACTCCCAAAAGGCACGCCGATGCATCATCCAGAAACGCCAATGGGCACGATACACAGCGCGGAAACGGATAGGATTGTACCATTGAGGTCGTCCGGTCCACGGGAAGGCGATACACCAAGGCTTCTTTCCCGCTGCTTCGGCCTTGGCGAGGATCGAGTAAACGGCAGCCTTCACGGAGTCGGGTGCGTCGGGATTCAAGTCGATCAACGCCTTATACTCCGCGGACGGAACGAGTGGAGATGGTGACGGAGCAGGCTTGTCACTACTGCGTAGTTTCTTGGTCGTCTTGACAGGCGGTGGTCCGCTACGGGTTTTTCGCTTGCTACGGGTGGTCTTCTTCGCAGACGAAGTGGCTGAAGCGGTGGGCGACTTGGCAGGCGACGGTGCTGGAGCTGAGACTCCGGGCTGCGAAGGCAGAGCGACTACGGGACCGTGCAGAGAAACTGGAGACCGTTCCTCTAACAAGTCATCCACAAGTTGGTCCAGATGCGCTAGACCTGTAGATAGGCCGTTGCCTTCCAAGTGTCCTCGTAACTCGGTCCAGAACTCCCGCTTGATGGCCTTGGCGTCGTCGCCTGGCGTTCCATGTTCGTCGTAGTCGAGTGCTGCGTCGAAGAAGGCCTTGAAACGCGTGTGCTCTGCTGCTGACAGACGCTTGGACATGGCGAAAGAGAGGCTGTTGTCGTCGAGAAATGCTCGCTGCTGGGATAGTTGGAAACTGACGGATAAGTTTCTCTCGAAAGGTTAGTGGCTGACGGAAGGGACACGTCGGAGAAAAAGACGTTAGCGACTGGGTGTAGTAATGGAACGACGTGAGAGATAACGATTTGGGTGACTCGTGACGACAGTTGAGACGAGGATGCTAACGGACAACACTGGCTGGATCTCTCAGTCTTAAGCGGCGTCATTTAAGAATGGCGGAAGTGCTGGAGAAGTGGTTTCACTGGAAGGATGTGGTGTGGTCGACTGTTAAGCTCCCCGAGATGGAGACTGGAGCGATGTTGGGCTGTGCTGTGGCTGGTATCGCGGTGTGGGTTGTCACGACTCCTTTACGGAACGTGGGATGGGCATTAGGTGCTAGTGCGCTGGATTGCAGTACTACTATCTGTTTCTTTTGGTACACTTGTAGTGACAGATTTGTCACTACGGTGCGTGGCGCGAACGCGAAGGCACTGCCTCCCAGGGAATACGCGTGTATTTTGGTCACGTTGTTGTTCCTCGTTCCTATGGCGGTACTCCGGAACTACGAATCTCGATTTGGAATATTTGGACGATTGTGCCTTAGGTGGTGCGAGGAGTGGCATCACTCGTTCTGCCTCTTCGTTCCTGATGTGGTGCAGCTTATCTGGACGTCTTCCTGTCGTTACTTGAGGGCTATGGCTGAAGCTGTGGTTGCCTCGATTGATCGTGTGGGCGAATATCTAACTGGTGTCTATCTCGTGATGCAACTGCTTATGTCTCTCATGTTCTACTTGCCACGCATGCTGTATGAGGGCGTGGAGGGCGTACTATGCGGATGGATGGGCGTCGCATTTGTTTCGTTACTAGTTGACGTGGTGCTGGAATTCTCGATCGCTTGTCTCTATTGGAACGCGTCGGTGCTGACGCTGGGTTGCTATAGTCACGCTACGAGGTATTATTGGGCCTCGCAAGCAGGTGGAGTCGATCGATCTGGCATTTCAACGGCTCAACAAGGGTGGACTAAGCTCGGGAATAAGAAAGAGCGCCGGGAAGGGAGAGAGAAGGCCTGCCTCGACCTTTTGCGTGGTAGTCCGAGAAGTGGAACGTCGTCGGTGGAAAGAGATTCAAGCGGAGCTTCGATTGGAACGACACCTGTCGTTCCGGATTCGACGACCACCACTGCCGTCGGACATGCTGAAGGGAACGAGGCTCGGCGAGGACTCCGAGCGTCAGTCGGGGAGAATTGTCACGGTCTACGGCTGGCAGAAGGACTGGCTATTCTGGACGAGTGTTTCCGACAGTTTAGTGCACGGCAGAAGCTTAGTGCCTCGTCTGACTATCCCGTCTCTACTACTCAGACGGCCTCGTTCCAAGTCTGACGTGGAACCAAGGAATCCAGACAGTGGGAGGGTAGTGAAGTTGAGAGTGATGTCGGTCAGGATGGCAACTATTAGGAGATACCTTCGGAGGTAGGAGAGCAGGTAGGGAAGCTCTGAGTCGTGATTTTCCTTCTTTCAACAGAAGTGCTCAAGAAACAGAAACAAGAAACAAGTTAATACATTTGCTTTACTTTTACGTATAAGTTCCTACGTCGCCGGCTTACATAAGATACACGACCCCGACGAGAGAAGGAGACCGCGACATGGGCTGGAAATGTACTCAGGGACTAATTAAAAATTTAAGCCCCAGCAAACGTACTTGCTGGTCTCGCGAGTGACCACGCGTCATGGATTGATCGACATGGCTCCAATAACAGCAAAACTTGCGGCATGGTCCAAGCCGCCTATACACGCACTACAAGAAGAAGAACGACTCCAACATCTTAGCGACATTACGTTAGCGGGGTTCCACCTGCCAGTGACCGCCAACGTGATCGATTCTTCGATGCAGTAGTCGTTAACCCCAAACTGGAAGCCTAACTAGCCATCACTTTGCATTAACACAAATGTAAGCAACAACAGCCTCCACGCTTCGACGGAGAAAGCGAGGCTCCAATTTCCGAGAGAGCGAAATTTCCGAGAGAGCGAAATCTGAAATTGTGTGTGCACTCTACACAACTCACAGGTTGCTCGACTGTGGAAAAGCCCTTTTTGGGTGAAACATAAATCACCCAGAAATGTTGCTCGATTACAGAGAAAAACCAATACGGCATATGATAGTTCTTCGAACTACAAACTATACACCTCATTAGAGATCATGCCAACAGGCAAGTAGCACTATACACCTCACCCGAAATTAAGAAGTCCTACCAGTAATGCGCTGGTACTCGAATTCTAAAGTCGATGAATTGATTGCAACTTGGGTAGCTCCTACTCTCAAATCATCAAAACTGTGTTGAAAGCCACTTGCATTGTCAAAATCCCTATGTTTCACAATAGTAGCCTCTTCATACTAACTTGCAGCACTTTACAATGCAAAGTTAACTCCCTTGAGAATAACATCATTTTAAGAATTTTACGTGATAAGGCTTCGTTCTAAGATCTGTACTGTGTTTTTATTTTCTGATGACTTTAAAAGGTACATACCTTGAAGATACGGTAAATAGAAGATTATTTATCATCAGGTTTGGAATTACCTTTAGCCTTCAAGGCCTCAACAAGGCTAAAACAACAATTATTAATACTACATCAGAGCGCAAGACTGGCAAGAGCACGCTAATGGTTTTATTGTACACGCAACTAGTAGAACTTTGACTAGCGCTACCTTGATAATATCAAGGTAGCCATATTATGGCAAACCAAGCATCAATAATGAAGGCATAAAAGCCTCTTAAGCACCGCAAAGCTACGACCCAATTACCATCGACCCTTTTCGTAAAACAAAGAGGCAACGTAGTGCAATGATTTCTTTTCATCATACCGGTATCTGTCCTTCTCACTTATGCGAGGCAGATAAAGCTAAAAACTCGCATCTTAGCTCCTGCAATTTGAACCGCAGGCGTCAGTCAAACGAACTGCACATTTATGACCAATCCCACGCCGTTACTTCAGCGTTTCCACTTGGTTACGATTGACATTCATCAAACAATATTAATTCCATAGTTTTACATATTATGTGGCGTCGAGCTCTCGTCCGATGCGCGCCTGCTGTATCCTCGTCTCAGGCACTGCGCCGAATATGCGTCGACAGCTCCTCGGCGTCGCCTCCTCTACTCATTTCCAGCGCCTCGTTCCAGCACTTGCACCGTCACGACCGCTGCTTTGTCACTGAAAGCGGCAATGATGACAGTGCGCCAGTCTCACCAGCTATCTCCAGCGAGTCCACAGCCTCCGCCACCGAGTGCTCAAGTGCACCAGGTGTAGAGAGCCCCGGTGAGAAATTTGTGATGATTTACACGTGCAGCGTGTGCGAGACGCGCTCAGCCAAGACCATCAGCAAGCACGCCTACTACAATGGCGTGGTGCTGGTGCGCTGCCCCGGCTGCGAGAACCAGCACCTTGTCGCTGACCGGCTGGGATGGTTTGAGGACGACTCGGTGGACGTGGAGAGCCTGTTGAAGCACAAGGGCGAGAGCGTCCGCTTCGTCACAGCTGAGAATGTCCTTGAGCTCACAGAGAATGACATCCTCGGCGGCAAGAACGAGAAATAGACAACCGAATCCGGTTCAAAAGCAGCGAGGTCGTTGCGCAATAAAAGCCCTGCTTATGCAGTCAAGCGTAGTGAATACAAGTCTTTCCATTTTGATGGCTAGGTAAACGCAGTGTGGTAATTTAGCTTCTGTCCAGCTGAATCTACTCGGGTGAGGGCTGGGATGCGCTAAGTTAGCTGGATTATTCCTCGGTGAGATGCTGAAGCCACACCCGTCGGCCTTCACCACGAAACATGACCTGCTCGTGGGTGTTTACCTGCACCGAAGGGTTCGCTGATGCCAACTTTGTCGTCTTGGTCAGACGAGTCGAGTCAATCGTGCTGGTCTCTATGTGGTGCTTGCGCTTCTTGCTCTGGTTCTTGTGTCGAACCATGTGCTCTGATAAGCTCTCTTCCTTCCCGTACACACGTGAGCACACGGGGCACTTGAACCACTTCTTGCCGTTCTTCATCTCAATGATAGGCTGGAGTTGATCAGGCAGCACCACGGGCGCCAAGTTGATTTCGCCCGAGGTCTTCTCTTTGTCCTCTTCGGGTTTACCCGCGCATTTGTGGAACTGCATACCGCGACGTGCATTAAACTTCATATCACACAGCGGACACGTGAACGGATGCAGCTTCTTCTCATCCACGGCCTTGTTCGGCAACAGCGCTAGACTGGCGATACCCGCCTGCTTATTTTGACCGATACGAATTCCATTCTGTGCCGAATACATCTCCTTGCTCGTCTCCATGTACGCTGCGATCACGCAGCCAGCCACCATAGCATCAAATTGATGCACATGCTCACGGACGTCACGGAACTCGGCAAACATTTTCTTAGCGCGACTTCCCACAATTTCGTGCAGATCCAAGTTGCTCATCGTGTGATCGATCAAGCGGCAGGCTTTTTGTTTCATCTAACAAACGATGCCATCTAGATGAGTAGGCTTTGAACGTAGATGAATGTAACACTGCCAACCGTACCTGGTCCTTGTACCCAATACGCGTCCTTCGCTCATCCTTGCCCATCTGGCTAAGGTTCATCTCCACAAACTCTGCAGCGCGTCTCAAGTTTCCAGCCATCTCGCCGTCCTAGATCAAACCAGCAGCCGTAAAATAAAAAAAGCTTCCATTTCCGCACCTCCAGTCTCAATTACCTGCGAAATCAGCGTCCGCAAGTTGTGTCCAGTCGAGAACAACTTATTGGGCGCAGGACCGTGGTGCGATTTGTCCTCTTCGCCTTCAAATTTACGGTACGCACTACCTTCGTGTACGATGTGGTCCTGCACGACCGTACCGCATCCATTTCCATCCACGCCATTACAGATTGTGTCTCCACGCGCATAGTCGGTGATAAAATTGTTCTGCTCTGTGTTGCCGCAAGTCTCGCATCGGAATCGCGGCGCTGTCAAGCGTTTATATAGAATAAAAACAATAAGTATTGCCCTTTTTGCAGCACTCAAAACGCCACCAGTGTGTCTATTTGACCGGAGATTACCTGTCTTCTGCTCCGCATCCAATTCCGAGAACTCGTCGGCGTCCGACTTACCTGCCTGCTTCATCTTGCGGATCAACAGCATCACGTCGTTCACCTTAAGTTCGGGCACCAACAGGTTTACGATGCGCTCTTCCATTGGCAACGCTGGCTCAGCAGCCTGTCTGGCAGCCCTGGCAGCTGCAGCACGAAATGCCGCCTCCTTCCTGGCTGCTCTCTTAGCTGCCTCCACCTTCTTCCTTTTGTCAGCCTGCAGGCAGCACCAAAACTGTGAAAACTACAGGTTCTCTGTAGAATTTAAATCGAGATACAAACCATGACAAGAGGCTCGTCATCTAGCGAGGGGCGACCGCCAGCTTCTGCAGCCGACTCTGCTTCGGCAAAACCGATACCCGCGAACACATCTTCGGCCGCGCCGTTGTTCAGAGCCGCGAAGAAGTCGTCGGCGCCGGCGTCGATGTCCATTGTTACCAAAGGCTGGAGCGATTGAAATACCGTACGAAGTACAGGTACCAATACCGAAGACCGCAATAAATCGAACTTAAACGAATTACTGTAAGTACCGTATTCCTTATAAATTCTTGAAGTGGCCCCTCAAAGATACATGCATAGAAAAAATATGTGACGTGTGCAAAACAATATGTGACGTGTGCAAAATTTATTAGAGCGAAATGGTGACAGCGTCGTTATCCGATTCTGAATCGGAAAAGTTCAGCTCATCGTCCGACAAAATGTCGTCAACGGTGCCCTCTATCAAACGGAGCTCCTGCTCAGGTGCTTTTGAGTTTAAGCCACCGAAGCGCCCTACACTGTGTGAATGGGTAAACACGAGCTGGAACAAGCTCTCTGTATCGACCATTAAGAATGGTTTCCGGCGTGCCCACATTTTGTCGCCTCTACCGGCTCGGGAGCAGCAGCAAGAAGAGCCTGGACTGCCAGAAATTGATTTACTTACAGTAGATTTCCCGTGATCGTGCAGCTGACGGCGTAGCATGTTTACCCACTCCCCGCGTAGATAAGCTTTAAACGGTCTATTCCACGCAATATCTGCTGGCTGGCAGGTTGCTGTGCAGGATGGAGGTACAGCCATGAGATGCACTTCAACCGAGGCAGCGTAGTTCTTCACAGCGGGGGTCCAATGTCCAGAAAAATCATCCACTATCAAAATAATAGGCTGCCAAGGTCGTGTGCGGTCGCCGAACATTGCCTTTAGCCACTCGATATGAATCATTTCATTCCACCAGGCCGATGGATTAGCATATAGCTCCAAATTGCTGAGCTCCATAATCGACTTTGCTTCTTTCCACACATAAACACCAAAACCACGCCTTTTTTTCCAATTGGCTTGGTCCCCACCGGGTACTGTAGAACGGTTCGATTTAAGCACCAGAAAGGGAGGATATTTTTCTCCATCTGAACAGCGGGTGGATGATGTGGAGAGCCGGGAAGGTGAGGAAGGCACTGCTGGCGATGGTTGAGCTGGACGTGGACGGCGCGTTGTTTGACAGCGCTGCCGTGTGGTCGGCGTTCTGGTCCGTGGACGCGGAAACTCACGGACGCGCCATTGAGCGGGCCGATGTTCGACATGCGTGAGGGCCAACGTGCAGGTGTGCTGGCAGTAGCGTGGCGAGTGGGATATGGCGCTGATGGTCCGGATTACGGATCTGCAGCACGGTGGGGTTGTTCGGGTGTATTCGTGGTGGGGTTGTTCGGGTGTATTCGTGGTGGCGTCTGGAACGCGGTGGAGCGGTTGGATGTGTTGCGTCAGCCGGATATCTCGTGGCGGTGTCGCGACCTGGACCTGGCCGTGGGGCTGCACACGATGGTCGAAGTGAACGAAACGGGTTCGATGCAGGTGAAGTCGCTGCTTTTACTGCGCGTCTGCACCTCGCAAGTATTGCCGAGCTGCCCGCACAGATCGTGATCGTGGCTGCGACGGAGACCGACGCGATTAAAGAGTAGATGGTTTAAGCGGAAGAGGCCAAGATGGAGATCATGGAGGTGGAGGATGCGACTCCCGAGGTCAGGAAGGCTGAGTTGTGGATCAGCGTGGCGCTGCTCCAGCTGGAAGTTTCGCGTAAGACGGAGACACACGTTCGGAACCGGTGCCAAGGTGGACGTAGCCATGAGCAGTAGTAGAAAGGTACGCATGCTGAGGGACAGGAGAATGTTGGCGCCGTGTTGCTATTGAGTTGAAGTGCTTAAGTAAATAAATAAATAACGCGTGGGATTGATGAATGCTATCTACTGCTCTGTTCATTTAGTATACTACTACTAGTTTATAATACTTCAGCAGTAATTACTCTTAATACGTCTCCTCCCACAGGCTGTTGCATGTATTGTAATGACGAAGCGAGTTCGCTAGAGCTGCCGCCTGCCAGTTGTCGACGTCTGTAGTGCTCAAGATTTTGTATAACAGTAAGCAAATTGTAGACTGCGAAAATTGAGTCTAGTGTACTGAAATGATTACACCGCTCGGAGAAGTCGGAGAAATCACTTTATGCATGTGATATGTCAACATCTTGAACATTGTATTAGCATATCCATATTTTGCGTGTCACCTCCGACCCGATATGTCGGAGCCAACTCCGATGAGGCCCAACCTAGCCCTTACCATTTGGATTGGCCAAATCATTTTGTCAAGACCGAGCGATTGGTTGTCTAATAAATAAAAATGGATGATTGGTGATTAAAACCAATACTAAAATTAAGTTGGGTCGGAGAATTGATGATATTCATCCATAGCGCCGATAAGCGTGACACCCATCCTTGGACGTCTCGTCTATGAATACTAACTACTCAGGGTACGAATATGTGCCACGAAGTTTAGCCTTGTTTTTGCTATCTAAAAAAGCCAAAAAAAAAATTGTCAATATTTTAAGGCCGATGCTACAGTCCATGCGTCGACTCAGTTTATTTTCCATGTAATACTCCATGTAATGTCCATGTGTCGAAATAAATTACTTACCACTGTTTTTAAAATCCATAGTGAATGGAAGTTGTTAGACCTTCGCAAACGAAAGTCCTCTGACATCTCTCGTACATACCGGTATACAGAAGTCAGGAGGTCAACCATACGCATGAACATTAGGCGGGTCGATTCCAGTTTCAATAGAAATGAGATTGTATTAGTTGCATTATGGCTTGCTACCGTGAAGCACGAAGTGAAGGATGCGGAAGCGTAACAGCGTTAGACCAATCGTGGTAATCGTTGCCGTCAATTGGGATGGTATCTTGGGGATAGGCGCGAGCAATGGCCTCTGCCATGCTCTGAAGTGTCGATTGTTGTGCTGCTGGTATGGCGCTGGCTGCATCCTGTGTTAACCATTTGGTAAACGCCATTCCATCATCACACGAACGCTTCACGTTTGCTAAGTATGCCATGGCCTAAATCTGTTCGCGTGAAAATGTTCCGATACCCGCGATGTAGACACACTCGATCTCCGCTTGTGGCACCAGAGTGTCCCGCATCAGTTTCGTCCACCGTGACTACGTTACCGTCAATAGCTGCGAATTCCGCGAGAGTTGCGGCGCAAGCGTCGTCGTCATTCAACCCTCCTCTTATCTCTGCTTTAACACGTTGCACAATGTTGTCCACATCCTTCTTGACGAGGTTCTCGCCTCTCCCCAGAAGATACTCATAGATGCGTGCGCGCTTTCTACCGTACATCACCATGCTGTCCACAGCATCCTTCGTGTCCGTGTCGTCCAACCTACGGTTCTCCGCGTACGTCTTGAACTGCGCTGTCCCCACCGCATGGTTGTGCTGGTACACACCGTTCTTCACGCGAAGGCAGCATAAGCCGTCAACTTGCACGAGCTGCACCACAAATCGAAATGGACAACCGCATCCTCGGACGAAGTGCTTGGTTCGCAATCCGCTGCTCCTGTCTTTTGCTGGCCAGCCATGTGTGCAGATGTATGTGCGTTGGTAAGCACCCCACGTCTCTGGTACGTACGGAACATCCATTCCCTGCTTTGCTGCCGCTGTTTGACCCAGCCGCTTGTTTCTCAATACGCAACTAAGCGTTGACTGGATGCGGATGACCTGGCGGGACTTTACCGAGTAAGCCTTCAAATACTCATTCCACGCCGACCAGCTCGGATACGTCACGTCTGCGGGGCCCTCCACAAGGGAGGGAGAGTCTACGACCTGGACAATACATGGACGCTTGAAATCGTCCGTGTCAGGCGAGGCGTCGTCCGAGTTTGCAGCCGCGCCGGAGGCTGCGGAAGCCGTGGTGTCGATATCTGAAGAGGAGTCGGACGATCCACCCTGTATTTACAAATAGATAACGCACGGTTAGAAACACGTTCACAGAGACCACAAACAGCAAGATAACGCACCTCAGACGTCGCGGAAGCGGGTAGACTGAGCGACATGGCCGGCGATTGCAGCAACGGTTGATCTCGTGACGTAGGCTGCGGCGTGCAGGTAACGGAGCGGCGGCGGCGGCACTGCTCGAAGGGGGGCGAGTTTGGGTTTGAAAAGCAAATGAAAGGCTGGTGTGATTGGTACAACTACCGGTATACAGTATTGTACCGGTATTAACTACATAGATCACATCGTGGACAATACACGGATGAGAGTTGGACAATAATTGCACTCAACGACTGGGTTGTTTTTATAAATTACCGAATGAAAATATTTTACATCATGGACATTACATGGAGTATTACATGGAAAATAAGCGGATTTGACGCATGGACTGTAGCATTTCCGATATTTTAATCCACACGCCAAATGATATGTTCCATTACCTCTGAGGAACACTTTCTCGAGCAGCACGAGTGATGACTTTTCGAGTCAGACCCAAATCAAAATTAAAAGCGCGACAAATAGCTGACAGCGAAATGTTCTTGACGTCTGCGTAGTTTTCACGTAAAAAATCGTGGAGTTCCTCCAAGTAACATGTCGGGTGTTGTTTTACGTATCGTTCGACGCCTGCTCGTCCACAGGCCATCGTGCTGTCTTGACAGGCGGCTTGTCGTCTTCAACAACACCATTGACAAGAAACAAATTGTGCCATCGAAAAATAGTCCTTGGTTTCGGCCCAAATATATCACTGATAAACTGAAAAGGGCGTCGCCAGTAGTGGCTGGTTGGTCAATTTTGCGAGTGGTTAATTTAGGGCTGGGAGAGACAGCTTCTTTGTAATGCACTGTCGACTCTGCATTTCAGACCTACTGCCCCTTATTTTGCTAGTATATCGAACCTTTTATTGAGTTTTCGGACACCTTATTGTGGAAAAATCGAGATTTGCCTCGTAACCAGAGTTATAAAATCGAGAAATAATGGACTGTTTTGCTAAAATATCTGCAAAGCACAATAGTAATATAGGCGGTTGGCCATTTGGGCAAGCGTAAAAAGGAGGTTTAACCTCTGAATGTGACATGAAAGGTATCCTTGTCGAATTTTTTTGGGAAAAACTATGGAGCTCGAGCTTAGGGAGCTCGAGGTATCCAAGTTTAGAAATAAGGTAATGTAGTATACCCAAAAAATGACCCAGAGGTAGACCCTCACAGAATACCGGAAGCAAAAACTGTCGCTAACCGGGCTATCAATAAGAGAGCAACTGAGGTGTATTGTATTCACGTAGCCATATTACGACTCAGATTTGCTCGTAGCATAAAGTAGTGTAATACATCGATCACCCTGTTCGGCATGGGCCCTCGGCATGCCCAGTCTAGAGCAAGTTCTCCGATGCGAGTGAGACGTAGGCAATCTGGACTTTTCCTTTGTAGGTTTCGTTTTTGTCAATGGTGTTTGTCCAGTGGATAATGCTAAGGGTGAAAGGTGCTTGTCATCGGCAGAAGCACTGGTGAATATATTATTCCGTTCATCCGCGTACCTCACGGCCTGACCACTCCAATGACAAAGTGCTCATTAACAACAGCGTATCAAGTGTTGGGCTCCCGCATAGGCTGGTAAGATACACAAAATCTAAGGAGAAAGAACAATGAACCACTCTATTGCCTACGGAGGACGAGATGTGGCACTTATGCGGCAAGAAGGTCTCATACAACGTTGCCGCAGCGTCGACTCGAAGCGTATTACATTTTATAGAATAGTCGCCCCCCCTAACTGATAAAACAAATGAATGGAATCAATGCAGCTAGAAAAAAGGTCGAAAACCTGCTTTGGCGTACCAGTAGGATTTAGTGATGGCTGCGGGGAAGCCTCGCCAATGGAGAACTTATATTAATAGTAATCAACACCGCTATGTCGATAGAAAATAGTTCCATTACGCAGGAAACAAATTCTAACCTGACAGCTCAATGCTTAACACGCAAAAAGAATTTGGGTACACCACATTATCCTTTTTCTAAATTTGGGTACCTCGAGCTCCTAAGCTCGAGCTCCATAGTTTTTCCCTTTTTTTTTACTGAAAACTGGTCGTAGATCACTGGAACAAAACACCTGTTTCAGTTCTTTTGAATCAAAAGACAGCGTGCCACGCACCGTGGGTACGCACGGTCATTCCTCGATCGGTCAGCACAGCACTCCACGCCACGACCCTCGCCATGGCCAACGCCACTCCAACCTGTACGCAAGTGCAACGCAACATCTGCAGAAGATCGAACCGCCCACGAACTAAATTTTGTCGATTTTACAGTCGCAGAACTCAAGAGCCTGTCTGCCGCGTGTAACAAGCTCTGGGAGCTTGACACCAACCGACTGGAGCCCAACGTGCATTATGAGCTGAATCTACAGGATGGAAAGACCGCCTACGCTCGGGGAGACGCGGCTCGCGATCCGCTCTTTACCTTCGTGGACTCGTCCGTGTTTGAGCGACGCACGTATAAGCTGCTCTTTGACCTGCTCGACAATTACGAGCGCGAGGTGCACGCTACCATTGGCTGAAGCTCCATGCCCAGTTTGTTACTGATGTTATTATGGCAATGTGTTGTATCGGTTGCAATTCAGACGGGTGTGACAGAGAGAGTGACGCCCAAGGAGCTGGCGGAGAATAACGCCTTTCTGAACGCCGTGATCGAGACGGCGCCCATGCGCTATGCGCACGCGTACGTTGCGCACGTTCTTGTATGGGCTGTCATTGATTAACAAGTTTTTTGTTTGTTTTTGTAAAGCTGGTTGGTGAAAAACAAGAAGTTTTCGGGGGATATACAGGATTTCAAGAAAAAGTTGGAGTTCATTTGGTTTGGACTGTATCGCCGTGAAGTGCGCAATGACTCTTCCGGTTTCGAGCACGTCTTCGTGGGCGAGGAGAAGAATGTGAGCTATCGATTCTGGAAATGATATTTACCGTGTTCTTGTTGCTCATCATTTGCGTTGAAATTGAGCAGGGCAAGATCTGTGGTTGCCACAATTGGCTCCAAGTATACAATGAAGAGCGCCATGGCCGCATTGACTACAGAGGCTACATTCGCCCCAAGCAACGTGGGTGCAAGTTCATGGAGCCCCACAACAAGGAGCAAGTCATCACGTTCCAGTTCCAGTGGGAAGACGAGATGAAGCCCGTATCCACGAGGTGAGAACAAATTATTGCTACTATTAGTTTTGGCAAGCCCAGATCTGTTAACCAATTTTTCTATTATCTCTCAGCTTGATCGGAGTGAGTCCGGAGTTCGAATTGGCTTTGTACACTATGTGCTTCCTCAATGGCGAGGAGAACAACCACGTCCAGCTAGGCCCCTACCTGTGCAACATTAAATGCTTCACTTTCGGACGTGGCAAGGAGACGAAGATCGGCACGGCATTCCCGGAGGCACTACCTTTGACTGAGGCTCAGGCCGCGACCAAGATCCAGGCGATCTTACGTGGCAGTCATACGCGTGTTCGAAACCCGCATGGTCGTCGTCAGGCTCCGCCGCCTCCTCCTGGCGCTGCGTGGGGCCCGCCGCCCGGAGGTGTTGCAACCCCAGCTCCACAGCCAACTCGATCGGCTGGAAACGCTTGGGCTCAACCCCTTACCCAAGCTGCCCCTCTGGTACCCACCGCCGCTGCTCCTGTAGGCCCAGCACCTACCGGTGCATGGGCCAAGCCGCACAAGTGGTAACCTTGCAAAGCATGGAAATGGTATTTGGATCGAGAGTGACCCAAACTGCACCTTGTACAGGATTCTGTAGATAATCGCTGATTTTTGCAATCTGTTTCGAGACTTCATCCCAATTGTCACGCTTATCCTTCCGCAATTAGCGGAGGGGCAACATCGCTGATGGTTTCACAACTGATCTTGATCCTGGGCGACTCTTCCATTTTCAGCAGTTTCGAAGGCTTAAGGGTGGCAGCAAAGCCCGATCAAGTAGCCGCAACAATGGAAGCCAAGGGCGAGGACGATCGCACGCACAAAGCTTTGTCAAAAGATCGACCTGATCAAGACGACATTAACACGGACGAGTCGGGAGCCCCCACCCCCGAGGTTGTAGCTTTACGCGACGGATACATCCAGACGTACATCGTCCGGTCCAGCAAGAACAATCTCCATGAAGTCCTCTTCCGCTGTGGTAATTGGTGCTACAGTGGTAAAGTCGACTTGGGCAGTGCCGACCTTGAACTTGCCGATCTTCCAGTTGTTGTTCCTGCGCTGCAAAAGCAACAAGCTTCGCTGCAGTATCTTTGCGAGTGGAAAGCTATTCCCTCTGCATCACCATACTCGACTCCTCTCGAGACTCTGTATGATGTCTACGACTTTCTTGGTGCCGAGCTATCAAGCGAACGTATTGAACGTAAATTGATGAAGGCAGCTGAAGATCATTCTTGGGTGGACAGTGATGATGACGGTGGCTCAAATACCTTCTTCGAGTTGCAGAGCGGTGGTTACGAGTGCTTCGATGCGGTCGACATCGTGGCCAGCAAGACCTTTGTTCGTGGTCTTGTCCTTCTGGTCATTTACTACCAACGCAGTTTCTACGTCGTGTTGCAGCCAGCTGACGGCGAGCAGCCCCTGCTCGATGTTCGCTTCCCAGATCTCTCTGCTCACCTACAGGGTATCAACCTTCAGACTTACCGAGACGATGATTGTAGTAACATGAAGAAACTCACTTTATGGCAGGCAGCAACTGTTGGCAAACACCAAAGCCCACCGAAGCCGTTGAAGGTGCAGTGTACCGACGTTAGCGGCACAGGCTACAATCAGACCTTCCTCATTCGACGTACGCCACGTGCTGAAGGATCAACGATCACACCGAGCTTGCGAGAGGTGCTCTTCCGTTTTGGAAACTGGTGCTACAATGGACATGTGGATCTGGGTCCTAAGCTTGAATTATCAGACATTCCTGTCATCATTCCCATGCTACGACGACAGCAAAGTGCTCTGGTAAGTGTGCTCCGATCATTCACTGTTTGCTCTATCAGCTTAATCTATGTTCACTCGTGCTTTAAATGGGCTAAATAATCTGCAGACGTTCATGTGCGAAGCCTCCAAGATGCCCTCAACTTCCCTGTTCACTCCATCAATGGAGCATTTAGCTGAAGTTGTACCTGCCATGCAGGAGGAAATGTCCAAAGCCGAGAAATTCGTTCAAAGTTTGGCTCAGAGTGGCGGATCCTTCGTCAAGGGGAATGTCGGAAGCTGGCTCGAAGACGACAATGTCGAGTGTTTTTTCGAGATCGCCATCGACAAATGTGCAGCATTTCAGGTCGGTTCGCTCTGATAAAAAAAAAATGACGACACGATATTTAACAAGCTACGTCATGATCTGTGTACAGGATGTCGAAGCGATTGCAAGCAAGATTCATATCGGCGGTGTGGTGCTTGTACTGCTTTACTACGACTACACTTTCTACATCTATCTCGAAAATGGGGAAGAAGAACAGCCTCTACTGGACACCAATTTTCCCGACGTCTCGCTGCAAAAAGAGGGCGTTCAGCTTAAAACTTACCGAAAGGGAGTTCGTGGGTGCGAAGAGCTACGACGTATTAGTCTGTGGAAAGTTGAGAGTGATTTAACGGATGAGGAAGAAGGCGAGGACGCCGCAGCTGTTGACTGCATCACTTCACGCACCACAGGACATCTCCAAGCCGATGCCAAGGAGGAGCACAGGCGCGAGGAGGGCGTCAAGTCAGATTCCGATTCCAAAGCAGCGAAGGAGATGCAACAGCGCAAGTCTGCACTGCCGCACCACGTTGCCCCACTCAAGCGGCCTAGTGGAGCAACCACTACTCTCAAAGGAATGCCCGATCTTGGTATGAAGGCGCCATGGGACGATAGTGGTAAGCCACTCGGAATGCGAGCCAGCAAGTAGCTAAGAGCATCAGACGGTTAAGTGTTTGCGCGACTGCAGCACGTACGAATGAAGCTTACAACTCTCTTTGACATCACAGTTGCGTCTACCTCTTCATACTACTGTACTACTGCTAGTTCAGTGCACAACAATTTCACCAACAGGAATACTCATGTACATGTACGTAGTACATATTATTCGGTACTAACTCACCAGTAATGTCTAAGACCGTTGTACTAGAATTCCTCGTCAGCGACAGTGAGCCAGTCAGGGATACCGGTACCTTTGGAGCTACTATACTCTTGCGACGAAATAGCCGACACGCGTGCGCTTTCAGTGGCAGCGTAAATCGAGCCACCAACCCAGGCGAGTATGTTCCGTGGGAAGGAGGTCTGAACAAGCTGCGCTCGATCAACAGCAGTTGATGCAGATGCGAACTCGTTGTCGTGATGTAAAGCTTCACACACTTCAGCCACCACACGTTGCGCCAAGCCTGAACACGTAGCTCAGTCAGAATCAGGAGTCATTGCGACGATCTGCTCGGAAGGCTAATTCATACCAGGAATCATTGCAGTCCCCCCAACCAAGAGCAAGTTTTCCAGCAGTGCCGCTCTCACATCGACTGGAGCCCTCTTCAAGACCCCAACGATGCCATCGACAATGGACGTCCCATCCGTGCCTTCGTCGCCTGGTCAGTCAATGTCAGATGGACCATTGTTGCCTTGCATGCCCCCAATTTAAATAGTTTACCAAGAAGTAGCTGTTCCACGACCTCGGTTCGAAGATCGCCGGGAATCTGTCAAGCAAGTGACGCTATTAGCCGATACTTTTTTCCACAAAGTGTTTGGCAGAGCTTCTTCGACTACCTGCAGCACACCGTTATCTTCCGTCTCAAACTCTGCGTCAACGACATGGAGCAATTGATCCTGAATCATCCAGATGTATCCAGCTTAGTTTAATACAATGAGGTGGTTGAATTGGTCCGTTTCGCTTTACCTTATGCTGCGCAAAGCACGCTCGCTCGAGAATGTCCTCCGCCATGGCTTCAGTCACATGTGTGACATTCTTAGAGCAGCCCATACGCTGATCACGAGTAGAATTTAGCTCTCGTTGAATGACTTCACAGCAGTTCCGACTGCCAGCAGGAACAGCTACGAGACAGGATCGTTAGCGCTAGCTTTATGCTTCCATAAAAATACGGCAACAACTTACTGTCGTAGAGATACGGCAAAGGAATCCCCTTAAACACTGGCAGCAATCTCGTCTCCACCCAACCGCAGTCCACCACTAACGCGGTGTGATTGGTTGTAGCGTAGAGTACTGACATCATCGATGGCACCAACGTTACCGCTGAAGCCTAAAAAATAGCAACAATGGCCCCACTTAGCCCCTTCCACCTCAACGAAAACGCTATAACAGATCAACCTTGAGTACGTCGAACAGTATGCTGAGCAGTGTCTCTCTTAATACGCGCGGCAGCAGCAGATCCTCACACACCACGAAACGCCGACGCGTCGGGTTTACCAGTAGCCGCCTACCATTTGTCGTTAAGCCACCACCGTAACGTACCCAATTGATGACGCATTCGACTCACTCAAAGCACAAACTGTGAAGCTTCGGGTACAGATATTGGCGCCACTCGGCAGCGCTCAGCGGCTTGTGAAGCATTTCCCCCACCTACAATTCACAGTGTATTAACCATAATGAAAGTAGTTATAGCGCTAAGCCATGGACGAACCTGCCAGCGCTCCACACATCGAGGTGAACGCTCCCCAGAGATGCCGCATCGAGCGTAACACGCCCCCAGCTCCAGTACCAAAGCGCTCTTCTCGCTTGAGGAGCTGCTCATGGTGAAATTGCCGTCTATTATTATTATTGTGTTTCGCAAATATCTTTGCAGCGATTTTGGCAAAACGAGATTAGATTTGCTGGATGCATGTATTTAAGTTACCCCCTGGACACAATTATACGGTCGAGTGCTCATAACTCAGTCAATTTTTATTTTTCGACGGTGCGGTTCTCATACAAGTTGCAAAACATGCTTCAAAATAGCAAGGATGTTGCGTTTTTGCACTTTAAAGGGAGGCTCACATTAAAAAAAAGCAACTTTCAACACGCGTGTCCCGGCGGTTTCGGCTTAGCGGAACCCGACACATTCAGAGATCGAGGAAGTACTTTATGAATGGGTTAAACCTCGTAATGCAAAGGGCCTTCGCGTCAAATACGTTTACATTGGTCTACAGGCCAAGAGCATCTATCAAGCGATGCATAGGGACAGCACCGCCGGTTTTGAGGCCTCTTCAGGCTGGTTGGCCAGGGTTAAGAGACGCAGAAACCTCGTCTCTCGCCGTCAGACACCGTCACGATTGCTCCCGACCGATGCACCCCAGATCTGCCGTGAATTCAGCCCCAGTACCTCATCGGCAAGCACAACATCAATCACAACATTATCATCAACATTGATCAGGTACCGCGGTACTTCGATACTGAGCCAACATCTACAATCCCTACTCGTGGCTCTCGAGACGTACTGCTGGGAAAAGGTGGCTCGAGCCATAGGAGAGTTGCGGCAACTTTTAATATCACTGGATAGGGAAAAGTACTGACCCCTCACCTACGCTTCTTCAAGCTGAAGAGTGTCCCCCTGGCGTAATGGTCGACGTTAATCCCACTGGAATGTGGAGCGCCGACAGTCTTCTGGAACACGCTCGGCAGGTGGTGTGCGGCAGAATGGAGACGCAGCTATACCGTGAACCGGTTCTCTACCTCATAGACGCCTACGCCTGTCACGTGAAGCTTCCTGAGTCCAAGCGACACGAAGCGTACAATGTTTTTGTACTGATTGTACCGCCAAACATGACAAACATCTAACAATCCCTCGACGTCGCAGTCAATCTAAGCTACCAGGAATTCTACAGAGGCATATGACGACTACACCTTTTCAACTTCAAAATGGCGACAGGTAAAATCAAAGTGACAAAACGTAAGTTCAAAATGACATGACACTGACACTTAATATTTATGGGAGTATTTACGTTTGGAGTTCATTAGATGAAAGAGGCAAAAAGTGGCGGCAACTACTCCCGCCAATTTTGGTGGACGCTGGCTGGCTGTACGGCGTCGATGGAATCAGTGGACACTGTTGCTGCAGTTTGTGGCCGCACTGCCTTTCATTCATTTAGCAATTCTCACTGTGCTTCCTACCCACACAGCAATGCTGTACGACGACGCTACCGTTCGACGGGTTCTCCGTGCAGCTCACGAAGGCCAAGATTGGTGCGATGTCGCGCTTAAGAACGATGTCAAGCTTCGCACTGCTTACCGCTGGATCAATGCGGCCGAGGACAGCGGCAACTGGGAGGCTCTGCCTCGAAAGCCTCGTGGTGGTAAGCGCCACAGCAAGATTCAAGACGAGCACGTCGACTACCTAGTTGGTCTCATCGACGACAACTGTTACATCACGCTGGACGAGATGGTTGACGCCCTCGAGGCTCGATTCGCGCTCAAGGTGACAAGACAGACGGTCAAGACACACATTGACGGCCGGATGTACACGGTCAAGCAAACCCATCGCGACAACAACTACCGCAATCTTGAGGAGAACAAGATTTTGCGCCGGGATTACGTCGTCGAGCTAATTGCTCAGAAGGCCGCAGGTAAGAAGATCTTCTACGTTGACGAAACTAACTTCAATTTGTGGTGTGCTCGCCGCCGTGGTCGTAGCAAGAAAGGGAAGCGAGCTGTCGACAACAACACAGCCAGCAAAGGGTCAAATATCCACGTGATCGCTTGCATTTCAGAGGAAGGGCTTGCTTACTCGGAGAAGCGCTTTGGCTCTTTCACGTCGGAAGCATGCAACGAGTACATCCGTCGCCTGCTCAACCACATCGGTGCTTCAACGCCGCTAGAGAACGTTGTTTTGGTGTGCGACAATGCACCATGCCACGCGAACATCGAGGATGTATTCAAGGAAACCACGTTTTCGGCGGCGACGCTGCTGCGCCTAGGTCCGTACTCGCCAATGCTGAACCCCATCGAGAACTGCTTCTCAGCGTTCAAAGCCATGGTGAAGCGGTTCCTCGCTCGCCATCGTCAAGCTATTCTACGCGTCCCACCGCACCTCACCATCAAGGCGCACCGTGAAAGCTACCTAAAGCTGGCTGCAGACCTCCTCGTACTCGAAGCTATCACCCCAGAACTTTGCTACAAGTGCTCGTTGCACACCATGAAGTTCCATGCGCGTGCGATCCAGATGAAAGATATGCCTGTAGGAGAATAAAGACAATATCAAGTTTGGCTTTGCTGGCTCCTATGTTCGATGTCATTTTGAACTTACGTTTTGTCACTTTGATTTTACCTGTCGCCATTTTGAAGTTGAAAAGATGTATTTAAGCAGGGCGCTGACGGATCCTTCACTGCAAACGAAGGCCGGTAATCAGAAGGTGTCTTGGTATGCTACTGTGGCCAAGTGGACGCTGGATTGGGTGCTAAGCAAGGCTGAAAACCGAATTAAGCGAGCTTTGCGCTGTGTGGACTGGTTCCAAAGGATAAGTTTGACGTGGAAGCTCTCCATCCACCGCTACGTGACTTGCTGGCTGGAGATGCCGATATGGATCGCTGCAACCGACAATACTGTGATATCGCTGATGCAGACGACATGGAGCAGCTCGATATTGCAGCACCGTCGTGGTATTTGCCTGAGACGCGCACATCCAGTTTGTTTTGTTGCCTGCTACATGGTATCGGAGCGCCCTTACAAGAGTATATTTCCGCCCTGACAAACTACATGGAGACATCGGCGGACCGCGACGGTCTTTTTAATGGTAAGTACTTCAGCGATATCCGGGGCGGAACGGAGAAACCGGGAAGCTGGAGATTTTTGCTGCTGCTCAGATACATAACAGGGAAATCGAGGTGTACTGAAGACAAGAACAAGAAGTTGCTGTCCAAGTTTGGCTACAATGTAGAAAACCCAGCAAAAACCGTGATACTAGATCGGATGGGTTCACACTTTGCAGTTGAAGGTAGACAGATACGCTGTTTAATTGGTTATTGATGTTTTCTCCAATACTACAATTAAAAAAAAAAAATTTTCAGTTTAATTTTAAGTAATAAAACAAACCTCCGTTTACAACGCAGCCACCGGTGAGAGAAAAGTCCCGTTACAAATATACAACATGTGAACTACACACAGGCTTGTTTATGCCCAGGCCGGTAGATTAGGAAGGTCAAGCCTTACCGACCAAGTCAGATTCCAGGGCCCACCGATACGCCGTTGTTGTGATATGAACAGTTTGCTCGCTGTTGCTCGCTGTAGCACATGGCGTTTTAAACGAATACTTCCTCTGTCCGAGAATGATCGCAAGAATGCAGTATGGAGAGGAGGATTTTGTAAATCGGTCGATTGAAGTGAAAATATCTGAGCTCATCCGCGGCGACGCGTGCAACAAAAAATATATCGAAGGAAAGGCCTCAATCTTAGAGCAGTTTATAATATTCCTGAGTGCCATGACAGCCAAGCCAAAGAAAGCAAGCATCTTGACCGTGCTGGTAGTTTCAAAAGAGAAGGGGATTCCCGCGAGACGCGGTGGAGATGGCCAGCGGCAGCAATATGAGTATTTCCTACCTCTAATCGACTCTGGATGTCATGGTGCGTTTTGCGCCTGTTACGACATTGGCTCTGCTACAGCAACTCGCTACAAAAACCAAACTGATGAAGGGCGTTTTAGCGCGAAGCTTCACGGCGGGCAGCTAAATCACAACGCTGCTGTCGTTGACACGCCGTGGATAGTGGATTGGATGAAGAGAGTGGCAGCTGGCTTGGGAGGGGCTGGGCTGTACGTGTTCACTGCAAAAGACTTCTAGTATATCTAAAAAGGCTTCCACGCCCTTAAGTCAACGCAGAACCGTCATGCAAAAGCACAAGTCTATTCGCAAGTATGTACCTGGCGAGTTTCAGGGAGACAGTCACTACGCAGCCCCGACTCCGGATTGAGAAGAAAAGGCCCTCTCAATTAAGAAACAACGACGAGACAGCAAGCCAAGGATTACCGACAAGAAGAAAGTGCATACCAGTAGCTAGAACTGGACCACAAAACAAAATGATACTTAAGAGCTCAATTAAATGAGTGCAAGAGTTGACTTTTTTGTGTACGTGATTGGCACAGAAGGTGCGTGCGAACTTAGCCTGAAATACTTTTCTGAGCGTTTTTTGTACCGTATTGGTCAAAATGAGGGGCGTAGTCGGATTTGCCGCGAAAGTTTACCCCATTTAATTTAATAAGCGAAAAGGCGAGTTAAAAAAAGAAGTATCAAAATTATAAAACGGCCATATCCTGGCAGAATTGAGAATTGAAAGTCAACAATCACATCAATGATAGTTCTCTTTTGAATACACTAACAAACTAGAAATTTAGGTTATTTGCGTTTATCATTTCGTTTTGAGGTATCTCATTTGTGGTTGTGATGGTTCATTTGCGAAACGTCCCGTATTTTTAGTGACGGTTGGCGGTTCAGCCACAACAGGGACGATCCTTGCTAATACCGACACAGCAATGAATCAGAAAGCTGCAATCGCTTGCAATATGGAAGCGTTCCTCACTTCTTGTACTGTAGTCAGTACAAACGCTACAAAGCCAGCTTGAGAGGATGCTGCCTCCCGCAAACCGCATCACGTACACTTCTCAGAAGGACAACAAAGGCTCTTGTAGAAAGTGTTGATTGAGCACGAAATGGAAAATGTAGAGCTGATGCATTCGATCTAACATGCAAGGTCACTCGGCCCTTCGTCAGCGTGCAGTCACCAGTCTAACCGCTTCCAACCTGAAGTTTCCTATCTGCTCTTTGCATGCAGCCTTGTTCAGGACTCCGGCAGTGTTGGTGCAATCAGCGCACGATCGCAGCTTGCGGCAGCACCTGGTCCCTCGCCTGTAAGTTTCAGCGCTCCTTTCCGGGCGGTAATCAGCGCATAGGAGCATCACAAATCTGTGCAGTTCGTCGAGTCACGGAGTTGGGAGTGTCTTTATGATAATATCCGCAAGCATCTTAGTCCAAAGAACTACCCAGTTCACGACAAGGGGTTCCTGGCGATGCGGTATGCTCTGGTCAAATTCAGAGTGTAACTTCTCGGTGAACAGTCGTTTGCGTTTTATACTGATCACGCATTGCTGCGGACAGCGATGGAGAGTCCTCACTTGTCGCAATGGATGACCCGTTGGCTGTTCTTCTTCTCCGAATACAATTTCGTCGTCCACTACAGCTGGGCAAAAATAACATCCTCGCCAACGCGCTATCTTGACGTCCGGACTACGATCCCCGTGAAGCGCTAGGCCATCAGGTAACTGATGAGGATGATGACGAGTATGTCGACGGGTATCACCCTGACGCTCCACGCTCCCGCTGGGCGACGATATCACAGCAGCATATGAGGACGACCTCATAAACGGTGCCATCTTGAAGCATCTAGGCGCTCCCAGTAGTGATACGCTGGGTGCTCTGTTAAGGCACACGCGAAACCAGATCAATCGGTATCAACTGGACGGCAATTTGGTGAAGTACAGCATCGACAAGTTCGATGGACCTTGTGTCGTCGCTCCAAACGACGCTGACCTCCGTGCGCGCATCATTCACGAGTACCATGACGCTCAGACTGGGGGAAATCTCGGTCGCCAGCAGACATGCGCGGCATTGTCAAGAAACTTCTATTGGCCCCATACGAACAAGTGGATATCCGCACATGCGGAACTCGCCAAACCACGGAAGCCTGGCGTTCATTTCAATGGACTTCATCTTCGGTCTACGCCCAATACAGCCGGGCGCACGATTGTGATTGTGCTCGTCGATCGATTCAGCAAAATGGTCCACCTCGCTCCAGTGGCTGAATCGATCACCGCGGAAGAGTTTGCGGTACACTTCGCCGATGTAATTTTTCGTCTCCATGGCCTCCCGGAATCTATCGTATCCGACCGGGACCCGTTCTTCCCATCCGCGTTCTGATCGTGCCTCTTCGAAGCTAAATTACTGATGTCAACTGCGGCTCATCCAGAGATGGATGGGCAAACTGAACGCGTCAACCGAGTTTCTCGAGGACGCTCTCCGTAGCTACGTGATTTCGTACACAAGCTGAAGCTCGTTCCTGCCGCTTGAATTCGCACTCAACAACGCACTCCTCGACGGGACTGACACTGTTTTTTGTGAACAATGCTCACTACCCACGTGCCTCGGCACTTCTCACCGTGGGACACCTCACGGATGCTGGCGCCTCCACCCTTGGAGAGGGAGGATCACCGTCCGTTGACACTGGGCCGAAGTTGCGGTCAGCTCTGCAGACAACAAGTCAATGTCGTGGTCTCCACTGGTACGTGAAGCGGTGTCGAAGGGTCTGTCAACGCATACGGCCTTAGACTTATCTTCGGGCGTAGCCAGTTCGGATGTTATGACCCGGGATCAGTTGAAGCAAATCATCGGGTCACCGCGATGCGCCGTCTCACCGATCACGAATTGGACTACGCAGAATTGAATCGACCCTGGTGGCAAGCCTAGTGAGCAGAAAGCGAACACGGCAAAATATACACCGAAACCTTTGGTGCTTCCTGCCGACCGCGTGGTCGTTACGGAATTTGTCATGCAGCGAAAATCCATCTCAAGATTCGTCCATGGTGCACTGAAACCGCTGTGGATAAGCAAAAAGAGAACGCAGACAAACACGGTCACAAGAACGTGAATTCATTCCGGATCGGTGATCATGTACTTCTTTCCACCGAGGGTATTCGGCCGTCAGCTGACCCGAACCTGGGCGCGGACTAGCGCCGCGCTTCATCGGTCCGTTTTGTGTGATTAAGACGGTTGGTTAGGCTGACAAGCTTGACATTTCATCGGCACTACGGCTTCACCCGACCTTTTACGTCGGGCGCCTCAAGTGCTACCACCCAGATGAGGATCCAGGCCACGGCGAGAGTACAGAGACCGACTAACAGTCACAACGACGTCGCCCTGAACGCACAGAGCGTGTACCGTACTGAAGAGAAGGTGCAGCATCGATCATGGACTCGGCGGCTGATGCTCGCTGGATTGTAGACCACATTGTGGCCCATGAAGACCCGACGGAAGTGTTAGCACGTCGCAACCACGCACCTCGCGCGATACCAGCCGCGCGTTGATACCGCGTTCGATGGCTTGGATATTCCGAAAAAGATGACACTTGGGAACTGCGTGACTCCCTCCTTCGTGATGTTTCAGACGTCGTACGCGACTACGAGATCGAGCACAATGACGATGTGGGGTGGTCCACGGACACGACGAACGAGTGCGTTGAAGTGAACATGTGGAGCGATGCTGAGGCAGCGACAGCGTCGCTGTCCTCGGTCTATAACAGCGCTGGCGCGAGCCGCGGCGAACACTGACACAACCGGTCGGTGCAAGGATGAAAATACGAAACCACTAGCGACATCGGTCCGGTGACCAGTGAGTTGGCAACCCGACACACTACGGTTGCACTGTAGTGACTTTGATTACCTGCGGCGACACTGTGGTCAACAAGTACCTGTTTCTGGTGACACCAGAGGTGACTTCACGATATTCACTGGGTTACTCAAGTGCTGACTTCTGTCGGCAAAGGTCATGTCTACGAGCTGTCCAAGACATTCCGCAGTCTGGCAGCAAAAACATCACTCGCGACTGCGTGAGTGGATTCGCCCGGTGGGAATCGAATCCTGGCGTCCAGACCACTGTAATACGAAGTCGCGTCTCTCGCGTTCGTGAAGCAAGTGTCACAAACTTCGGGTCTCCAAAGTCGCACGTGCGTTGGTCGCTTTGGCCTCGTGTGTCTTTCCTGGGAGCCGGTAGGCTCAGTGCCGGTCACAGCAGTTCCAGAGCTTGGTGTGCAAGGTGTCATCATCTGATTGGTCGATAGTGGGGAGCCCGGATCGCTTATTGGCCAATTAGGTGCTGACCTGTATTTGAGGGGCTCACAGGAGGCCAAGGCAAATAAATCAGAGTTGAATTTTCCACAAACCTAATACTTGGTTTTATTATTGCAGGCTTCCTCCACACTTTAGTTTAAGCTAGTAGCGGACCATTACATTCCTTAACTACTCTGGCTTGCAGCTTTTGTTTTGGACTCCTGCGATGCTAGTGCACTAAGCGCACGATAACAGCTTGCTGGATCTCGCCTGTGAGTTTCAACAGCGCATACACAACTATGGTAAATGCTGTTTCTTGATGAACAAGCATTACACGTGTCTAGCAGGTACATACTCACCGGGCAGAACAGGAATAGCTTCATCCACTTCGACTCTGATCAATGTTAGGACTAAGAATATAGTGGTTTTCAGCCTTTTTGCCGCCCGTTTTAGCCCCTCATATCGGAGGGGCCCGATTTGTAAACCGGGCATCCGATAGGGCTCGGTGCACCTATATCGGGGCCTAAATAGGAGCGTTCACAACGAATCAGTGGAGGGATTGTGCTCGTGAGGGCTGACTCCCCAGCAGACGGCCAAGAACAACAAGAACAACCAGGCGGAGGGGAGCGGGAACGAGACGCGAAGAGCAAGACAAGCAACAAGCCGGCGAATTGGAGAGCCCAACAGAGCGGACTAATAAACGTGCTGTTAAGGGAGACGCCGCGTTGATGGGCCGTGAGTCTTTTGAGAACAGGTACTGTGGTGTATAATGAAGATGCCTGCTGCTCCCTGCTTACTGTAATTTTGCCTATTGTACAGATCATAAGCAACCTACAGTCAAAAAGAAGAGAAGACTGCGAGCTCGCATACGCGGTTGTCTGCAATGGAGAAGCAGGTAAGTGGACCGTGTTGACGCTGATTCCTATAGTATGTGTTAATGCAATGGTGCTTGTTGTGTACCGTATAAACTCATGTAAATGGATATGAACTCACGGGCGCCGCATAGAGGCCCCCAATGCATTAACATGAACGGACGTGTGTAGAGCGACCATTGTATTCCTCACATGCTGCACGTGGTGTTAGTTTGGGGACTCTAACGTCTTGTCCAGTTGCTATTTCTGGGATATATTGAGGACGAGCAACTGACAGCTACGTCCTCGCTTCAGAGCGTTAGAGACTTATGATGATGACTTCTATTCTGATAATTCAATCCACTGACAAGTCTTGTTTTCATGCGTGTCTAGTGCAGCTACAAAACCCTTCAAGAGTCTGACTTACTTCAATATTTGCGCTGTTGGTAGATCGTGCCTCTCGCTCCTCCGCTGTGTTATGATGGATAGCACGCCCGTTGCAGCCTTTGGCCAAGGTGTGGAGACAACGGATACAGCATTTTGGGCTGTCAATGCCCTTGGTTCTCCTGGCGACGGGCCTCCGCCACTATCGTCAAGGGGGACTGCAATCTTGATCACACGGGTTAAAGAACCTTTAGGGCACGTGGTGGATGGCGAAGTAATGTGGAATTTGATATTGGCGAAGGATACGCGGTGTTTAAGGAAAAGTGAATCGCAAGATCTGAAGCTCTAATTGCTGGACCAGAGGCACCAAAAAAACCGCTTGCTCTACCGGAAGATGTATCCATCTACTTCAAGCGAACCAAGAACGACCCACAGGCAAAGTACGTTAAGTTGACGACTGCAAATTTTCTGTCTACACTGCAATACCGCTGGAAGCTGCTGAGCGTAGAGGACTTACGACAACTCGGTGATTTTCGGCTTGAAGCTTTTCTGTATGTTCAGCGAGCTGCTCAGCCAGAGCAATTTCACCGCGCCACAGCCCGTCGAATTGAGCAGGTACGCATGCAGCGAGTGGCTTACGAGACAGCAAATGCTATACAGTTTGGAGAAATTACCGCGCAGCACCTCGACGTCGTGAATGCTAGGAGACCGGAGGCCTCTCCGTTTGAGGTTCCGGCTGATAATACCACAGCACAGGCAATGGAATTGGATCGACAGCGTGAGTTGCTTCAGCTACAGGAGAATGCTGCACGAGACGCAACCCAAACAGCTTCAGTTAAAGTAAGGCTGGGTGGCATGTGGGTGCCTATGGAGGTGGATATTTTGTCGCGTCGCCGAGCAATAGGTTTACCGGATCACGACATTTTTTCACGGGGTATATACCACGAGTTTACGCCTACACAACCGACTAACGGCGGGATGGACGATGATGACCACGCCGAAGACGAACCGATGTGATAGCTACAGATGCAAACCACTTGGTAGCAGAAAAACACAGTATATTCAACCAATATATCGTTACTCCATAGAATCACTTGTGTGCATTAGCTCATCCGACGTTTGCTGTCGTATCCCGGTCTCCATGTAGCCACAGTGCTGGAAGGTCCCGAAGCATCCTTTCTCCTCGTGGCGTGTACACGCACGCATAGCAACATCCAAAACTCGTTCCGGGTACAAGCGAAAAACTAGATTGGCATACTTTTGTAACCAACGCTTTAGGAGCCCAAAGCAAGGTTCTATAGGATTCAGTTGTGGACAATATGGCGGCAGGAAAATCAGTCGAGCGCCACACTGGTGAATTGCGTCTTGTAACTCAGGATACGCATGGATCTTGGCATTATCCATAATCACAATGGAACGAGGTAATGGCCACGAGTTCAGATGCGGGATGATGTTCTTTACAAATGCAGCGTGAAACCTCTCTCTTGTAAACGTCCCCTCAGTTGATTCCCACGCGAAAAAACCGTGCACATCAAGTGCAGCCAAAATTGAGAGTCTTTTGCCTCGGTGAAATGGAAGCTTGACGACTGCACGAGTGTCTCTCTCCGACCAGCCATATCGCCGCTCAGCGTGACGCCCATCTTTTGCTGTCTCGTCCAAAAAAACGAGTTGCTCAGCAAACGAAAAAATAGAGAGCAACTTTGAACGGTAAGCTTCAATTTCTGCCGGCACCGCTTCTCGAGCTGCCTTTGACAGAACTATTCGGCTGAGATTAAGATTAAAATTGAGGACTCTGCAAATTGTTGCTGTCGAGATCGTCTTAATATCTGGAAAGTTCTTGATAACAAACTCGCGGAGCTCTTCAATGTAAAAAGTCCGGTGTGCGTTAACGTAGGTTTCTACAGCGGATAAAACTTCAGGAGGCCATCGTGCAGTGGCCCGGCGAGGGTGGTCCTCGTTGACAACGCCCTTTCTCATAAAAAGAGCATACCAGCGTCGAAGTGTTCGCTGCTTTGGTCCGAACAGCTCGGACACGTAGGCGGTTGAGATGTTGTAGACGTGCATGAGAGCCACAGCACGCCACCGGAAGTCATCGCCGTAGGTCATCGAGAAGCTGCCAATGTACAAATGACCTGCACGATGAATGGTCTGCTGGTTGAACGCAAGCCACTTCGTTTTGCCGCTAAAAAGTGGCAAAAGTGGCAGTTGCGCTCTAAAGCTTAGCTCCATACACCTCACAAATCCTAATATCATATCATTTTAAACTTTGTATGTTTGCCAAATCGGGACCATTTGCTAAATCGGGCTCCTATCTTGAGATCGAAGGTCTCTGCTTTGCCAAAATGGATGAAAACCACAATAAATGCATTTACTGCAAAGCAGAATGTGCTTCATCTACATAAATTAAACGTAATTTTCGGCAATCTGATCGCTATTTTCGGTCAGATGAAACTTGATGACTCGGGCTTACGCTTAATTAACCGGATACCGTAGTAATACGTTTGCGCTGAACTTGACAAAAGTTCTCAAAATTATTATTACAGCAACTGCTGCTGCTTACAATAGGTATGCTGGTTGGCATCCCTCGATAACGTAGATGCTTTACGACGCCCAAAGGCGCCGAGTTTGGGTTATGCAGTCGTAAAACCCGTGAGATCAGTTTCCAGCGTGGCGTACAACATCGTCTTCAACTCCTTCTTGCCGTTGTACAAGGGCAAATCCAATCGGTTGAAGCATGCGTGACTCGAAATATACTGCGTCATTTTGTACGACACCCCCTTGAGATTGAACGGGCATAGACGGCCATCGTAACTGGTTAAACCACGAAAACCCGACAGCGGAACGCAGGCCGAACCCGTAGCGAAAAGCAGAAGACGCCGGCGATATTCGTTTGGCATTTGTCGAACGATCTCCCAGAACCATCGGGTTACGTTAGCACCCTCAAGATTTGGAGACATCGCAGTGTGAGCCTCCCAGTCCGTGACGTCGATTTCAGGGGACCCACAGAGCAGGTAGTCGAACTCTTCAGGGTCAAAAATGAGGAGCATCTCGCGAGGAATAACCTCGTACAACCCTTTGAGAAACGCATGCATCTGATCTGCTACACTCTCAAAAAGTACGTATCGGAAGCGACGATCCAAATACTCGCGTTTATTGGAGTCCGTGACAGCAACATTCCTTCCATTCGAGATCAGGTCCACGACAATCTTCTCGGACTCATTTATCTGCTCGGTTATGCTGAAGTCAAGTCCGAGATCATCCACGCCATCATTATCCATGAGCCAACGTAGGCTACGGTAAGTTTCTGGGTCCAGGAACTCCATGTCGGCGAAGGTGACTGGTAAACCCAAGATCACCTTCAGTAATGGAAGTGCGAGATGGAAACCCCAGATGCCACCTTCCAGCAACGCACGGCCAATCAGACGTCCAGTGGCGAAGTAGTAGGCAAGGTGGTCTTCGCCCACCTCTGCGGAAGACTGCGGGTTGAAGTAGAAGCTCTGGTCGGCCTTGTTCGTACACGTAAAAAGTCGTAGGGTTGGCGACGCCAGCAGCTCATTCACCAGCATAAACCATTCGCGGTGTACACCTCCAGCATCCACGCCACTTTCATCGAGGAAATTGATACGCATAAAAGAGCGCAGGTTCTTTGGTTGAATGCAGTACATGTGGTCCATCGACTCCTCCATCATGTAGTCGCGATGTACCGACAATTTCAAAAATTCCACTTCCGCAGGCACAATAAGGGATGCCGTGCTCACCACAAAGTGGGCATACTTGGAAGGAAAGTCACTTGCTGCCATGAACACTGTCTCCTTGCGTCGTTCAGGACCAGCATCGGCAAGCGTCGACTTGCCCGTCGGGAATTCAGCCGGGTCAGAAGCCGATGCCTCAATCAGCTCCACCTTCACTTCTGTCGATAATATCGGTCTTTCAAGAATGTCTTCTCTGAACTCTGGTGGCTGCTCTACAGCAAGGACTGGTTCATTCTCTGAGGTGGCTTCCGCCTGGCCTTCAGTTTGCTCCTGGTCTTCATTCACGGCCTCCTTCTCCTGTCCAAGCTCCTTTTCATCCGGAAACCTGAAACTCAACGTGTATCCAGGCATAAGTGTATCCAGCTCACTGCTTACAGGTACGCCCCCGCCTCCGCTGCGGTACCAAAAGAGATTTCCTTCCACGTCTAACTTCCTGCTCCATTCGCGGCGGTTCCTGGCGCGTCGTTGCTGGCGGCTCAATGACGACATTTTCCTCGGTCTTGGTGACATCAGATCTACCGATTGGGCCTCATTCACCACAATGCTTACGGCTCCTCCTCTGCTCGAGTTGCTCTCTGCTCGTCGAAGTTGCTGGTGCTGCTCCTGCTCCTCCTCGCTCTCGTCATCGGCCGTCACCATGGACAGCGACGGCAATTTGTCGCCGCATAGCACACAGTAGTCGAAGCGCTTGAAGTTCTCGAACTCGCAACTGGCGCAAACACTGTAGCCAGCTTCTGCCTCGCGCGTGGCGGCGTCTATTCGGTGATCGACAGACTCTCCCGACAGCAGCGGAACCTCCATGTCGAGCAGGTGGCGATTGCGTCGACACGCCATGAGCCAAACCACGAAGAAGATGACACACAGCAGCAGCATACCGATGCCCTGGTACAGCATCGACGCCTCCGTCGAGCGCTCATTGTCCATTGTTCACGCCTTGTCCTTGAGTGGAATGACAGTCACAAGGATTGATCAAAGCCAGCATGACTGCGTTTCAGTATGGAAAACTGCAACGGCTTTGCACCAGATTCACTCGGATGTGGATTACGCCTTCACTTAACCCTCGGTAGAATGACAATCCAGCGAGCCGAGAGGGAGTTTAGATTTTAGAAGTTTGAAAACTTTGTTGTACATGTACAGTAGCATCATGATAATATTAACCCTTTCGTGCTCAACAGGGGCAATTTGACCCCTTTCATGGTGTTTCCAAAACCTGCGAGTAATACCCTCATGAAAGGGGTCAAATTGCGCCTGTTGACAGAAGTTCAAGTTGCTATCTACCTTGTTTTATTACTACCAATCAAAAAGGTCACGTCGGCTCGTTTCTGGAATATGGACGTACTACGCAACTTGCAACATCGACTGGATGACAACCAACGAATATTATAGTTTGAGTAAGTTGTTTGGCTACATTGATTCAATACTAAACTTACCACACTTGCTCACTCGTAATTATTCAACATGGTCCAGACTACTTTCTCCTTCAACGACGACAAACAGCTAGTGCAAACATCAAGAGCGTACGAAGAAGCAGAAAAACGGATAGTCTGGCGCGATGTTGCGCACCGCATGTGCCACACGAATCACACCACGGCAGCGCTGAAGCAGCGTCTAAGATCGCTGCGAAGAACGTATGGTAGCCGGCTTGCAGACTTCCCTCCCAGCTTCTTTGCAGAGATTATAATGCCGCGCATCACGCGGCAGTTACGCGCCGTTGCTGCTGCTGCACGCTGGCAGATACCCACAGCGCCTGCGCCGCCGCGTTTAGCTCGAGGTACGCGGCTCGTGGTCCGCACGAATACTTCATCGTCCCTACCCAGTATATCGGATCCGCATCCTGACCTCAGCACGGACGCCTCACCATCACTACCAAATGTGACCACCGCTCAGCGCGCAATTAGCGCAGACAAAGCACTATCTCCGCCCAATACAGAAGTCTCACAGCGCCTCAGTTCACCCAAGGCCAGCACGAGTTCAGTACAGCCTTCACCAAGCGCTGAGAGCATCTCATCGGCGATGAACACATACATTACACAGTCCAAATCCAGCTCAGAGACTACGCAGAGTACGAGACCGGACCCACTGACACCACCTCGTTCGCCTTCGGCATTGGAGCAAGTAGTCACCAGTGTTTTCGCTGGTGTTACGAGCAAATTGGTTCGTAACTACGATGGCAACGCGATATACAAGAACGTGGGAGAAGTAATGCCTGTAGGAATCACAATGCTATTGCGCGAAGTTGGTTACATGGACAGCCGGGATATATTCATGGACATTGGCTCTGGTCTCGGAAATGTCGTCGCCCAAGTGGTCCTCGCCACAGACATTTACCGCGAAATTGGCGTTGAAATTTAAGAGTCCGTTCAACGAGCTGGCATCGACGCTATCAATGGTAGCCCATATGCGTGGGCCTTACGAGAGAGAGCGGTGTTTGTATGCAAACCCGTCGAGGACATTTGCCTGTCGTCGGATTCGCCCTTTGCCGAAGCAACCGTTGTCTATTGGAATAATGTGCTGTTTCAGCCGCCTGTTGTCGAGCACGTGAAGGAACAGCTACGTCAAATGGTGGATATTCGCTTTCTTTTGAGCTGTGTGGACCTCTGCCCACGCCACCGACCTCCATGCGTCTTCAGGTTTTGTTACGCGCTCGAGCTGCTGAAGGTTGTTGACGTCCCTTGCAGCTGGAAAGCTGTAAGCCAGGTGCGTTGTGGCTTTGACCTGGCGCTCTACGGTTGTTAGTGTAGATGCATCTGCATTTGAAACTACACTAACGATCGCGCTGTCGAACCAGGAGGCTGCTACAATGCTGTGTGCGCTGGAAACCGCTTGTCGTGATGTTCCTCGGCTACATTCTTTCTTTTCGATCAACACGTGACGTGGGAAATGAGCGCTTGACTTGCGGACTGTTCCTCTCGCATAAAGGCCTTTCAAGCGTAGTGCCTCAAGAAGCTGGACAGAGGTGTAGTAATTGTCAGAGTTCACTATACGTCGCGTACCATAAATTGGTCGAGCCACCTCCAACACGCACTGACGAATGACCGATGATGCTGAAAGCTCTTCTGACAACGCCCGTGCCACCTCCGGCGTTGTTACACCAGCGAGACGCTCAGTCAGGCTGCTTTGACAATGCAAGCGAAAGTTTAGCGATATCCATGACGTAGAACAGCACAGCATGTAGATACGGAAATGGTATTTGCCCACGGGCTTCATGGGGTTGTGGACGATGAGAGGTTTGCCATACTTGGAACGGCAGGCAACGCTAGCTTCGTCAAGAGCCACATTTCTACCAACTTCCACGTACTTTGAACCTAATGCCTTGAGCAAGTTGAGCAGCGGACGAATACGCGCGGCCTGGTCCTCGCTGTCCTGACTGGGAGACACACACTGGAACGTAAACGCCTGACGAAGCTGCTTGAAGCGGCGGAGCGGCATTATGCTCTCAAGTCCGACTGAGCTTCCACCAAATATAAAATCCTCGACCTGCGTTCCCCAATAGTTGCTGTACTCGCCCTTGTCAACAAGCGCCATATAAAACAGAATCCCCAGGAAGGTCATGATCTCTTGTAGAGCGAAGGGCTTCCCAATCGACATTTTCTTTAGGCGAGCATTAGTGTTCATTTCGCCAACCACTTGCTGCCAGAAGGAGACAGGAATGTAAGCGAAGAAACTTGAAGACGCTGAGTGCTCGAAAATGTGGCGAAACTCGGGGCGAAGGCGTGTTTTTGTTGTCGCGTCTCCGTGAGAGTAATTATAACTTGGCTGCTCCATTTGACTCTCTGGATCGAAGCGAAAGTTCTTTATGGTTTCAACGTCCGCGAAATTACTTGGACGAATTTCAGGCGGCTCGTACGACTCCATATACTCCATGCACACCTCAAGTCCGTCAGCTGGGCATTGAGTTTGAACGCGTTCTTCTGGATCTACTGCACAAAGGCTCCCCCATCCAGGTCCTGCTGTTTGACCATGTAATGAGGTGTAGTTTGTATTTCCACGCTGAATCATATTCAGTGTTAGATTCTCGACATGTGACTGAAACTGCGAGTCCAGCCACCGCACCTGGTACAACCCCTTTACTATCCGGCAGACCCTGCCGATGATGTACGCATTGCCGACACCAACATACTTCTTCGATGTTATCCAACCTTCCTTAGCGGGTGAGAACGCCACCAACGTGTCCACATACAACGCGGCTATCGACGGTGATTGCGCTGAGGAACTCCGCCTCGATCGCTGAGCAGGCGATGGCGTCGAGGCTGCTTGGCTCTCACCAACGGACACATTTGATGTCGGTACGCTAGTACCAGCAGGAGTCGTAGCAGACAACATCTCACTAGTTTGTGCTGCCACAGTAGGTGCCGTTGGGGCGAGTGATGACACGGGCGGAGGGAGTTCATCGCACGGCGGTTCTGCAACAACTACGTCGCATACAGGTAGCTCTGAGTGGGTAGCCTCGTGCAGGGCTGTGTCTAAACTTCGTCTAGGTTTGTTCTTGCTTCCCTTCGGACGACCACGTTTTGGCTTGGGTTCGTCGATGGTTGTTTCGCTGGTCTTAGGCTTGTTCTTAGACCCCTTAGGCCTTCCACGCTTCCCCAGTCGTGATGAACCTTCCACAGACGCTGTAGCACTCGTCTCACCAGTTGAACGACGATCTGCTAAGACGGCGTGCACTTGAGCGCCTGAAGTGGTAGGCTCGTTGTCGTTAGTCGCTGAGTCAGTATCTGCCGCTTGTCCAGATGAAACGTCTAGGCGTGCAGCATTCTCGGGTCCAGCTACACTCTGGTCTACAGGAATATCTGCGTTGAAAACAGCTACTTGCATGGCGGGCACGCTTCTATTATCGAGCTCACTGCCGGCGGAGTTGTGGACGATTGCAGCTGTTCCTGTGGCCGTGGCTGTATGCGTGACGCTTGATTCCTGCTGTCGGTTGCTTGTGTTCTGGCGGCTCACTGCCATCAGGATCGAAGTCTTCTCGACGGGTGCAATTCTGTTGTACAGCGATCCACCAGCGGTCCTCATATGCCATCTATTTGAAGAGGTCGACTATACCTTTTGTGTCTGTTGATGCCGTTCCTGATTTGATCGGTTTCTGCTGCCCATTTGTTTTTGCAGTTTTAGATTTTGCATAGTAACATCAAGACAAATGTACACTACATTAGTATACAAAACGCAAGGCAGATGCTACATTCTTTCTGATACAAAGTTTTAATCACACTCACTGTTCCGTTTTCGATGCCGCTTGTCGTACTTACTACTGTACGTTTGGTCAAACCTACTGTGCTGCGTTTGCTACACGTAGCTGTGAGTTTTGCGACTCTGATCATGCACAAGTTCACTGGCTACGCTCCCACACCCTATACACATGGTTTTAGAGTGGGATTGAAAGATCGGTCTATAACCTCCGCTTGTGATTATTACCCAATCACATTGAAGTGCGTCAGCAGTCACCATCTTTTTCACAGAAAGTCGTTATTTTGACCAATACAAAAAATGCTCTAGCAAGTACAGTGACTTATGAAAAGGGTCAATTTGCCCCACTTGATGGTCACCCTACCTTGTTTTGGAATAGAAAATCATATGGAAGGCGATAGCTATATGACCTCCGCAGTACCGTTACTTATGAAAGAGGTCAAATTGCATCCTTTGATCTCTTAACATCTTGAGTTGTATAGTATACTTTATTTAAAGCAAACCCTCGCGTTCACGAAAGGGTTAACAGTTATTTACGGTTTTTTTGTAGGTACTGGTACTTTCGGTATGTTAATGGTCCACATAATATTGGCTTACACTTGCTGGGAACGTGGAGCATTCTGAGTTTAAATTAAGGAATGGAGAACCGCAAACATAGACCTGTTCAAGCGGAGACCCCAATCGAGGTCGTGCCTGTAGCTTCCGTGTTGACCATGCGGCGTAACACCTCTGTTAAATTAAATGTAAACTTATTGGTCTATTAATTCCTTAAGTGACCCCTATTCCTCAACCTATTGCTATTCTTACGGTTGTGATCAGACCGAAGCAAAAGAGGAAGTGAGGAGCTAGTCCTCTCTTCTTGCCCACCATGCTTCCTCTCTCGCACCTAGTGTGTGCCTCGATTATAGAGGGGCTTCTCTACCAATCACTGGTCAGAGTACCGTAGACTACATAGATACCTCAATAGGCATAGTAGAACCCATACACTTTAAATTAGTATGTCTCACACGGTACAATCCAGCCCATACGGGGGTTGCCTGTCGCGCTCCCTTGGTGTTGGCTCCACTGCCGGGCTCAACACTCCCACTAAGCGTCGTCCGCAGTCTTTAGGTCTTTGACCCCAACCAGTTCTCTTAGCTTATTAAACTGTCCTGTAGGTAGAGCTTTAATCAGAATGTCTGCTGCCATGTCGGTAGTCGAGCAGTACTGAATCTCTAGCCTCCCCTCTTCTACAAGGTCTCTTGTAAACAAGTATCGAATTTCGATATGTTTCGTAGCTTTGTGATCCCATGATTCTTTACTGTACTAATGGCCGCCTTACTGTCACACCATCTTACACTGCCATTTCCTGCGGGAACCCCATCTCCCTTAACAGATACCAAAGCCACTCGCTTTCCTTTGCTCCTTCGCTAAGCGCGATGAGTTCTGCCTCTGCAGTAGAAAGAGACACTGAGTCTTGCTTACTGCTACACCATGAGACACTGCTGCCAGCCATGGTGATTACATACCCTTTAACTGATTTGCGTTCTTTGGGTTGACACGCGAAGCTTGCGTCCGTGTACACTTCATACGTCACCGTTCTCGAAGTTCCATCAAGAAGTAGACCGTACGTTGACGTCCCTTTCAAGTATTTCAGAACTCTCCTAGCTGCGGGACAGTGTTTTTCATTGTAGCACGACAGAAACTTGCTCAGTTTTCTGACTGCGTTTGCACTTATTGGTCTGGTTCCTCGCATCAGATACTGCAGTGACCCCCCAAGCTCCCGAAAATCAAACTTTTGGACTGCGATTTTCTGAACCGACATCTCCGTCTCAGCAACCAGATCCACACATCTCATATGTGGAGTTGACACTGGTACACATGCTTCCATCTTTAAGTTTTTCAAAAGTTCCAGAATATAGCTGTGCTGGGAAATTGTCATCGTCTTTCTTTCCCCATTCCGACGGACTTCCATCTTTAGTATAGAATGAATGTCACCCAGATCTTTCATCTTAAATCTGCCAGATAGATCTGCCTTCAACGGATTGATCAGTCCCATGCCACGAAACATAATTTTTAGGTCATCCACATCGACCACCACAATGATCCATTGCTCTTTCACGTTTTGGACATAGATGCAGTACTCCTTATTGCATCGGACAAAACCAAGCCCTGTAAAAACGCTGTTGAGGACCTCGTACCAGATCTTTGGTGCTTGATTAAGCCCATAGATACTCGTCTTAAGCTCACAAACTAGCCCTGCATGGCCTGATTGCTTATATGGTGCATATACACCTTTTGATCTCCGTCCATAGACCCGTTTAGAAAGGCCGTGTACACATCCATCTGATGGATACGGTAATCCAATATAGTTCCTATTGCCAACACGAGTCGAAGCGACTCAAACCGAGCTACCGGTGCATACACTTCATCGCAATTTACCCCACATTCCTGACGATTTCCTTGTGCAACCAATCGTGGTTTAAACCTCTCTATACTTCCATCAGCATTGCACTTCACCGCAAGTACCTAGTGACTTGGCAGTACCTGTTGGCCAGGTGGTAACCTCGTGAGCTTCCACGTTCCGTTTTCCAGTACTCTAAATCAAGTGCTTGTTGTCACTGTTTCATTTGTGGTCCTGATATGGCTTCCCTAAGCCTTTTGGGAACTGATATCCTACTGACAATGCTATCGACTGCAATGGCCTTGTCAATGTGCGTTTGAAAACACTTGTAGTCTTTAAATCGCACCGGGCGTTTCCGACTCCATTATTGTCGTACTACTCTTGTACCATCGTCAGATGGTATCTTCCCAGATTTGCTCTTAGCTCCCACTGCTACCGGCAACCTTTTTGTGTGTGTTTCGCTCGCACTGTCTCCGGTAACGGCTCTCTTGGCCGCTCTACTCCCACTGTCTCATGCAATGGGTGCTCACTGCTATCCCCGTGAGACACTTGTGGTGCTTTACCTTTGCTCCGTGAAGCTGTAGCTAGCAACTCTATCTCATCTTTCTCCGCAGTGGTCAACTTTTCGAGATATGTACCGAATGACCGTGTGATGATGTTTGCACAGTTTTTTTTGTGTCAAATGTAACCGATCTGGCTACTATGTGCTTATTTTTTTAGAATTATTTATACTATTATTGTACACATCTAGAAGACAATACCTTTTGTCCTCAGAGATTCCGAGAAACCTGCACGTTATGGCTCGAGCTGACAGCTTTTTATCCTTCCGGACAGTTTCTGGCAGATAGGCAAAGCACGCACAGCCCCAAACATGTAAGGTCTTTACATTGGGACTCACATCTTTTACTAGCTCGTATGGTGTCTTTTTTCTTCAGCCTGTTCATAGGCGTGCAATTCTGCACATATGTCATGTATCTTCAGGCCACCAATTAGCCGGCAGGTTTGCATCTCTGAGTGCGCACCGTACTTTAGCCATTTTCGTCTGATGATCTCTCTCAGCCGCTCCATTTTCTTCTGGAGTATATGGATTCGACGTCTGAAACGCCACCGCTTTCTCTGTACAAAACTCTTTTAGGGCCGTATTCACAAATTCAGTACCACCGTCTGATCGAATCCTCCGAATTGTGAGCTTTCCTTCCCGTTCTAGTTGTCGTAACAACTATTTTACCTTTTAGTTGCACCTCCTTTTTCTTGATAAGTCCAACGCCATGATGTCTGATCATCAATGATGCTGATAAAGTATCTTATTGATCCTAGAGTCCATACACAACAAGTGTCCGCATTGGACCATTCGTATCCATGTGTATCGTGCTTATTGGTTGACCGTCTCTGGCCCCAACCATAGTCCTATAGCTCATTCTGCGCATCTTCATTTCTGCGCACGTATGGCAGAAGAACAGTACTTTACTCAGTGCCGCCCTACTGAATTTGGGCACCCCTGGGGTCAGATTCCTGCTCATGACCTCAATGGGTTTATCTTTGTTCAGATGACCTAATTTAATGTGTCATTCTTTCAACGTGGTTTCCACTCGAGTGTTTCCTGAAACGTACAGCGCCTTAACTGGCTTGCCTTTTACTGCCGAGCAGTAAATTTGCCTGTCCCTTAGTGTGCGACCCTGTACATAGTATGCACCGTTCACTGCAACAGCGACAAACGCAAGTTTACCAATTTGTACCGTCCTCTTCCACTCTCTACTATTTTAATATCCACTTTGCTTCAGCCAAAACTCGCTGAGTATGTTAGCCTTTGCCTTTGGTACTAGTGCCATGTTATCAAAACGAAATGGTTTGATTCCTTCAGGACCAAAACGATATAGCTGAACTGAGCCAACATGTGTATTAGTGCGTTTAGTCCCTTCTCCAAATGTGAAGCTAAACTCCTTGCATGCCTGTTTCCGCACAAACACCGATGCGTCTGCCGTTAGACCGTAGCCACAACCTGAATCTAACACCCAATCAGAAGATGTTATGTCAGCCATGTCTCTCTACATCAGCTCTGGGTACAACTTCCTTCCCGTGTTTATTATAGCTCTCGAGGCCGCTTCGATGTTTCCAGAAGCTTCCGTCACCTTTGCAGTATGCGCAGGGACACTTCCCTTCACAAAATCCTCGTAGTCATCCTCACCATCGCTCATGCCGCATGACGATAATAATGATGGCGGAGTGGGGGATACCGGAGGTGATGCCATCAGCTCATCCGTAAACATTTTGGCTTGTTCTGCCGTCAGTGTCGAACCGCCGTTTGATTGTGTGGCGTTCACCTTCGCGACAATAGTTAGCTTACTGATCGGCTGTAGTCGGCTGGGATCTCTTCTCGCTTAGCCTTAGCCTTCTTTGTGCCTTTCTTTTCCCCCTTCACATGAGCGACTCCCACTGAGTTGGATGGGATCGACTCTTTTCTCTTTCACAAATATCGAGTTGCGCATCAATCCTTGGATTCGATCCTTTGCCCTTTTGGGACAGTCGGCCTTGTAGTGAGATTCACCATCCCGGTTGTACCGACCATCACAGTAGTAGCACTCGCTCCCTGTCTTCTTCTTGGGCTCGTCTACTCGTCTCTTGCGCTTGCCCAACAGCTTGTTGGATGCCACATAGTTTACGGGAACCGTCTGGGCTTGCATATCGTCAATTTGGCCCCTGCGCTTATCCATGAAAGCATTGCGTAGCAACGCTTCGACCTTATCCAGATGGAACCCCTCGTTGCTGTAATCCACATGTTTCCCCCAGTTTTGGGCTGGGAACAGTGACATGACCTTCACGGCCGCATACTGGTTAGGTATCATCGTCACACCTTTCAGGTTCTCCCGTGACTGCCGATTAATGCGGTTTCGTGTCTCCTTTACACGAACAATGAGTTCTCCCACCGAAGCGAAATCCATCGCCAGTGCCTCATCAAATTACATAATCAGTGCAACCATTCCCTGGGCATTGGATTGTCCACAGTGAGCCTTAAGACGCTTCCATGCAACCAGCAAGTCCTCGTCGTTAAACAAAACTCTTAGCGACTCCAAATACCCTCGGGGTAAAGTCTGACTTGGCAAACTACGGATGTAGCTGTCCTGATCACTAAGCACCACCGTTTGCCAATCATAGTTGCGCTTCCTTTCAGGGCCTTCGTCGTACTCCATTGGACGGGGTACCTTACCAGTTATTCCTCGTACTTAAACGCTGGTTTTTCCTGACTTTTAAGCATCACTTCACGAGATAGTGCCATACTCTTTTGACGCACGCGACCGATGATAAGGTCCTTCCATACACCGAACTGCCGCACGTCTTTTGGAAAGACGAGCCTATTCAGTGTCTTGCGCTCACTGGGAATCAGGGCGTGCTCGCTCGTCTTGCGGGCCGTCTAGGCCTATTGGATCGTGAGGTCTTGAGTCTGCATCTGCGGGTGGACCGGCGGCCCTCTTCGTCCGATCTAGACGAGACCTTCCGCATGATCCGACGTATCGAGGCTCTGCTGCCACGTCCAGGATCGCATTCGGCGCACTCCCAGTCGCACGCGTATGGCGCGTACCCGACGTACTCGACGTATGGCTCCGGGGACCATTCGTGCGGGGCCCCTCCGGCGTACGGTCTCGACCGCAGCCTTGCTGCTCAGACCGAGGCTTGGGTCCCTGCTCCGACGCCCTCGTCGACGTCTGTGGCCGGCCCTTGCTTCAAGGAGTTGGACCAAGGTGGGTCTGCGAGGGTGCGGCGTCATTGACTTGGGCAGGTCGATGGTGTACGACGCACCATGCCTGGCCAGGACTGCGAACGGTCCAATAAGGCGGTGCTTCAGCTTGTCGCTGCCGACAGAGCTTATAGTGTCTAGCGGTAGGTTCCTCGTGGCTAATAACACTAATTCACCCATCTTAAATACACTTTAGTTTCCTCTTACATGTTTATCAGAGTATTCCTTCTGTCTGTCCTGGGCCGCTGCCATGGAATCGGGGACCCTGCTGATCACGGTTAGCTTGGTATCCACAAAGTATTCCACTTGTTTCCGCAGCGAAACCGGTCTCATATCTGAGACCTGGGAGGAAAGAACTTTCCGAGCCTCTCCCCCACTTAGAATAGAGAATGCAGTGTCTCCTCGAAGAGTGAGAGACACTCTGGGGTAACGGAAGCCGTTCAAGTAGAACGGCGTGAGCCCCGTGGACGCGTGCACCGCGTTGTTGAGCGCAAGCTCAACAACTGAAAGCTGCGCCGACTACGTACGTGGTGCTTTCGCACACACACTGCGCAGACTGTCCTCGAGCACTCGATTGACGCGCTCTGTCTGGCCGTCTGTCTGTGGATGGTCCGCAGTGGACATCTGCAGACGAGTTTAAAGTAAAGGAAACAGCGTTTTCCAAAAAGCAACCGTGAACCGCGAGTCTCGGTCCGAGACAATCGTCTTCGGGAGACCGTGATATTGGAACACGCCGTCGACGAACAACCTCGCGGTTTGTTCGCCTGTGACGGTAACGGGTACTGGAGCAAGATGGTACATCTTGCTCAGCCTACACCCGAGCATCAAAATCCCGGTATTGCCGTGTCCATCGGCGGGAAGCCCAAAAATGAAGTCAAGACTCATCGACTTCCAGCAGTCAGCCGGAATGGGCAGGCTTTGTAGTGGAGCCGAAGGGTGCCCTGCGGGTTTGACCCGCTGACATGTTTCACATGTCTTCACGTATCGGGCGACCCACTTGTACATGTGGGTCCACCAGAAGGCCTGAGAGACCGACAGGAAGGTCTTCGCGACCCAAGTGGCCGCTGAAGGGCGCGTCGTGCGCCTCCACAAGAATGTCGAGCTTCAGATCCTCGTCGTTGGGTACGACCACCCGTGAAGGTTCATTGGGCTCCACCCGGTAATAGAAGAGGCCATCCTTCAACTCATATCGGTGGAGCCGTGAGCGCTGTCGCGACGAGAGCCAGTCGGACTTCGCGCTCGCTCCTGCCACGATGAACTTGACGATAGGCGCGACAGTCTCATCGTCGTGATACGTCATGCGTATCCGATCATATAGATCCGCTGTCACCCGTGTGATGTGGTCCAACTCGTAGTCTGGACGCCGAGAGAGGGCGTCCGCAAGCACGTTGAGATTGCCCGGCTTGTACTCAAAGCGGAAGTTGTACTCCGCAAAGAAGGCCAGCCATCTCGCCATCCGTTGGGAGAAGTGAGGCAAAATTTTCGCCGTCCTGAAGGATGCGTGGTCTGTGTAGATCACAAAGGGCCGTGAGCCCAGATAATGAACCCGAAACTTCACAAGGGCATACTTCATTGCCAGGAGCTTCTTGTCGTGGACAGGGTAGTTCCGCTCGGCGGTTTTGAGCTGCCTGGACTGGAACGAGATGACTCGATCATGTCCATCCGGGTCGGTCTGCAGCAATGCTCAACCGATGCCATAATCGGAGGCATCGCACACAACACTTAACGGCTTCGTCTCGTCCGACAGGGCCAGGATAGGAGACTCTTGGAGACTGGCCTTGATGCTGTCAAAGGCATCCTGGTGCTCTTGCTCCCAGCGCCAGTCGGCGTCCTTCTGAAGGAGGCCCGACAAGGACTTAGCGAGGCCCGCGTACCCTGCGCTGTACTTGTGGAGGTAGTTGGCCAAACCCAACCACTTTCGAAGATCCTTCTGGAATCGGGGCATTGACCATGCTGCTATGGCCTTGACCTTGTCTGCGTCAACCCGAACGCCCACGTTGCTTACGAAGCAACCGAGAACCTTGATCTCTGGTGACGCGAAGACGACCTTGTCGATGTTGGCGTAGAGATTGTTCGCTCGCATCACGTCCAACACTCGACGGAGGTGCCCCAAATGCACCTCCATGGCCGTCTTGCCTCCCTCGGCACGGCTATGGAAGAAGATGTCGTCGAAGTACGTTGGACAAAGGCGCACAATGGCCTGAACAATTGTGTCACCAGGCGGTTGAATGTAGCCGAGGCGTAAGACAAGCCCTGCGGCATGAGGAGTCACTCCCAAAACATGCCGCTTGGAGTGCTCACCGCGGTGAGCGGGATGGCGCTCTCGCGCATCAGGATCTGGTAGTATCCATCTACCAAATCCAGCGCACTGTATAGTACGCTTCCGGCCATGTTGTTCACCAACACACCCTTTCGTGGGATTGGTGTTTGGGCCGGCACCGTCGCGTTGTTCAGCTTGTTATAAGCATGAACTAGACGCCACCTTCCGCTCGGCTTCCGAACGCAAAAAGTTGGCGTCGAGTGCGGGGACTTCGACTCCCGCACCATGCCTGCCTTCGCTTTCGCAGCGAAAAAGGCATCGATGACCTCGCATTGTTCGCGTGGAAGAGGCCATTGTCTCGTGACACAGTACGTTGTACCAGGCACGAGATCGATCTCATGCCGTACGCCTCGATCCGGTGGGAGTTGTGCCGGTGGGTGTTTGTTCATCCCGTCCGCATACTCCGTCACCAAAGGATACACCGGATCCTTGGAGTGCTTAAGGATCTCAGAACCCAAGCACGTCTGACGCTGCTTGTTCAGCACTTCCGGGACGTCCTCGTCCAATACAGAGGAGGATTTCAACTCTTTTCGAGTGGCCTTAGGTCTTATGAGCATCATCTCGGCAACCTTCCCAGCCTTGAGGTTGACCAGGAAAGACTCGACCGTCATTTCATTGAGGTTCAGTATCTCTGCAAACGCTGGCACGGTTCCAAGTGGACACCAGATGCCTTGACGGGCAAACCGGTCTCGCCATCGAGATTGTGATAGCACTCTTCCACCGGCCGTGTCGGAGGAGCCCGGGCCCTGGCCCCGAGTCGCTTGAAGCGACGTCGATCTGAACAAGGTTCAGATCCGACTCTCGGGGGCGGCGGCGTCGACGGCGACCGTGACGTAGAACTTCGCTACCCACGCCTGGGATGTCAGAGCGCCGACATCCGAGGCACCCGAGGCCTCGTGTGGTAACACACAGGAAGCGCACCCTGTGTCTTCCTCTTCTGTTATGGTCTGGGCGACCAGTGTGGTACTGTGTTACCCACACAGGAAGCGTGTCCGACGTCTTCCTCTTCAGTTAAGGTCTGGGCGACCGTGTGTGGAACTCTGTTATCCACCTCGTACACGCTATTACCAGCTTTCTTGACAGCTGCAGCTGTCTGCGGAACTATGTTACCCGCTTGTGGACCTAAGTTACCCACTTGACCAGCATCTCCTCTGGGCGACGCCACCATCGAAGCGTCCTCGAAGTCATCATATACGTCGACGACTCCCAAGCATCTGCTGGATGCTTCGCTACCCTGGCAACCCTTGAGGGCGCCGGGTCTTGACAGAGGTATGAACATGACTCACCAATGTTCTGTCGGGCTTTGCAGGGCGGCTGGCACATTACCTTGCCTCGTCAGTCGATCCAGGGCTCGTGCTTCTCGAGCCAGGGAATGCCCAGGATCATATCGTAGGGATCCATGTCGAGAACAGTAAACTGTTCTAGGCTGTCAAAGTCTTCAAGCTTGACGGCCAGATCCACTTGGACTTTGGGGACGGTGACGACCTTCCCGTCGGCCAGCCGCACTGACACCGTTCCGTTGCCCTTGCTTTCTTTACAAAGCATCAGCCAACTTGTTGCTTTTACGAGCAAGCGTCTGGCGGCGTTGGAAATTCTTCGACGCCTTAGAATCAATCAAGATTCTAAAGGGGTGACCGTATCCCCGTACACATCCATGTACTACGAGCAACCCGCAGCTGCTCTTCGCCGATTCGAGAGTGCGAAGACTCTCAGGGGCTAAGTCCCCGTGGTACGCGCCACCCGCGCTGCCCTAACGAAGACTTAGCTCTTCCTTAGTAAGGCGCCCGCCCCTACTTGTCTCCGGCGTTCCCCTGTCCCCGGGATCCGGGCTTCTGTCAGCGACCCTTGAGAACGGACTTGGGGAAAGTCCGCCTGCGGTGTCTCTCCGCGGGGCAGTCACGCTTGAAGTGGCCCAGCTTCCCGCTGCCGAAACAGCGAATGTCGTGCTGCTCGGTGGACCTGAGCTCCATGGGAACTGGTCCGTTGGGGTTTGCTCGACTAGGATTCGACAAAAAATTATCAGGCCATGCTGAGGCCGGCGTGCGCGCCTGGCGATGACTGTATTCTTCCTGAAGAGCCACTGCAATCACCTCTTTGAGGGTGCTTGACTGCACAGCTGAGTGCGCTGGGCCCACGCGAAGGCTGTCCATGAACACAGTCATCTTGACGTGTTCATTGAGTGGGTTTCCCACTAGGGACGCCGTGATCTCCCGTATCTCTTGGGCGTACTCATGCAGCTCGCGCCTTCCTTGCTTGCATAAAAGGAAGCGCGAACGCTGCCGGTACTCGTAGTTCGCCGGGAGGAACGCGGCTCGGAGCTGTTCGCACAGAGCCCAGGATGTGAAACATTCAGGCGATGTCGTCTCCCGCGTGTACACCCAACTCTTAGCACGACGGCTAAGGTCGGAGAGTGCAAAAGCAACACAAAGTTGCTCGGTCGAGATCAGAGCCGCGTCCATCGCGAGATCTACCTCTCGAACCCAGAAGTGAAGGCTCTCACCTTCCTTCCCTTCACTTAACCTTTAGCCGTATTGGCTTCGTGTGTGGCGGGTTTGTTTCTGCCGCCGGAGCCTGAAGGTTTTCCCGCATATGTGCGATGCGCCCTTGCTTGTAAGCGTCAAACGCATTGACGCGCTCGAGCTGCTCGGCCGGTGTCGACGCCACCAGGCTTTGTTGGGCCTCCATCCTGAAGATGCCAGCCATCTTCCGAACCGACTCGAACTGTGAGTCGTTCGGATGGGAGAAGTCGTTCCTATCCATGGCGACAAACTCCAGAGGTTCAGGTAGTCTATCCGCGTTGGCGTGGATTGACTACAAGTGCTACCAAGTGTGACGAGGTCACACAGCACCCTGCGCTAGAGGAAATTGGCTTCTGAGAGTATACACATTCTCAGTGAACAGTAGTTCACAGGTCCCTTTTGTCTAAGGGAGCGAAGTGACCAATTTTAGGTAAGTTGTAAGCTGAATGTATTTTAGATAGGCTAAGCTTGAGTTAAATTTACAAACTTTAAGTCACCTTTAGTAAAGCTATGTCATCAGCCAATGGTTGGCCTCTGACGACCCTGGTACTATGTACCATATATCCCGAATTGTTGATGTGTCACACTTCATGTAACTAGGGGTACACTTAGGGCTACGAACCCCGTTACACGGTTAGTCTGAGTGAGGGGGGGGTATCGACTGGTGTTGCTGGTGGGCGAATTTGGAGACCCCCAAAGGACTTGCACGTCACCCCCACCCCAAACCAGAGCACTTACCTAACCGTAAAGGTAGACCGGTTTTTACGAAACTAAACAGGAGCAAAACCCCACTACCGGTATTGTGACTCACACAATTTGTAAGTACCGGTAGTCTAAGTTTCGCTCGGCGGCATAATACTTGTTGCATTCTCACCTTAAGTACGGTTCCATGTGGAGTTCCGCGCAAATTTAGGTGGAATTGACAATACCGGTACAACCCACCTGAAAAACCCAAACCCAGAAAATAAAACTGATGTCGAGCAAAGCTGGAGACCCGCGCCGACCCGGTGATCTACATGCGTTTGTCCGCGAGAAGATCGACCCGGACGACGCCCCCGGCGACTGGTATGCCTTCTTCTCGCTCGTGCTGGGCTTCCTGGCCTTCACCATGAAGGTTTGTTTTCCACCTATATTTGGTTTACGTGTTCAGAGACAAGAAACGCTAAGGCCTCTACGTGTATACTTAGTGGAAGGAGCTAGCCTGGGGCTCGCTGCTGCTGTGCTTTGGCTCGTTCACGAACATGAAGTCGCAGGAAATGAACACGACGCAAGTGGCCATGTCCTTCTTTTTCTCCACTTCGGCCCTAGTGTCCGCCTACATGGGCGCCATGCGTCCGGGCATGCCCATGCCCATGCCGTCCGCCGACACCGTCGAAGCCCCGGTTTCTAATTAGAGTCAAGGGGAGAAAAGGAATCAAGTTCATCCAACAGAGTAAATACGAAATACGGCATCTACACGCTGTAAGAATGAAACCATTGGTAATGAATGGGCTTCAGATGGAGTCCTGCCTTGCTATTATTGTGATTTGTGGCATGCTGGACGCAACGACCCATTGTGGAAGCTATTTAGGACACTCGCTGACTGCAGCAGTTTGTTCTGGATAATGACAATTAGTCCTAATGAAGCATACCCCGCGAGTTTTGGAGAGGAAACAGCTCGAACGAAGGGGACACTCCGCGGCGGCTATCAGAATGACAGTCATGACGGCGCTGGTGTGTTTCCGCAGAAGTTGCTGAAGCGGCCACGGGGGCCACCGCCACCCCAAATGATACCTGCGGGATCGACTACACCGACAACACGAATCTTGCCACCTATTAGGCCAACAACTCCCAGCACACCTTCTGCGTCTTCTGCGATGACGCTGGAAGAAAAACAACAGCGACTAATGCACTCGTTCCTGCGCAACTTTCTCGCTATGGGAGAAAGTGGGCGCTTCCAGCAAGTGATTGATCTGCGTCAGCATGGGATTGACACGGGAATTACAGTCACAGACGCGACACTACAAGAAGTAGTGCTCACAGTGCCGAACCTACGTGGCCTTAACCTCTCTGGCTGCTCGCACATCACAGATGCCGGACTCTGGGCTGTGGCCAGACACTGCCAAGCACAGCTCGACACTGTTTATCTGGCTCAGTGTGACAAGGTGACAGAACTTGGGTTGCGTCTTCTTGCTCATAATTGCAGGCTTGTGCTGGTAGATCTCAGTGACTGCCCACAGCTCAATGACACCGCACTGCAGACACTAGCTGCAGGCTGCTGGATGATCGAGACGTTCATAATGAAGCGATGTCGAGGAGTGTCGGATGCCGGTGTCGTCAAAATCGCCCAATGTTGCAAAAATTTACGTCATCTGGATGTGTCCGAGTGCTCTCGACTCGGTGAGTACGGTGGCAAGGCGCTCCTTGAAATCGGGAAATGCTGCCCGAAGCTACTTGTGTTGGATCTATATGGTTGTCAGCACGTGCATGATTCGGGTGTCCGTGCAGTCGCTAAAGGCTGCCCGTTGCTGACCACACTCAGACTTACCGGCTGCCGAGACGTCAGCAGTAGCGCTATTCGCGCATTGGCGCATCAGTGCGCACAACTGGAGGTCTTATCACTTTCTGGTTGCATCAAGACGACGAATAGCGATCTCGAACTGCTGGCTACCAACTGCTCGCAACTGACGTGGCTCGACATCAGCGGCAGCCCGAATATTGACGCTCGTGGTGTGCGTGCACTGGCCCAAAACTGTACCTTCCTCACGTATTTGAGCTTAGCAGCATGCCAACGTGTGGGAGATGCTGCACTGAGCGAACTTACCAGCGCAGGAGCTGGAGGACTCGCAAAGTCTTTAGGGGGGCTATCACTCGCAGATTGCCCTCGAATCACGGAACATGGGGTCGACGCGTGTACTGCTTTCTGCTCCAACCTTATGACACTCAACCTCACGAACTGCAAGCAGATCGGCAGAAGGTTTTTACAAAGACTCATCACAAAGCTGGAGTTTGTGCAATGGGCCACTAGCTTCTTCGGGTACGAACCACTCCCAAATGCCGCCGAGCTTTGTCGCCAGCGCGATCTCCACTTGCTACAACTACGAAGTGCCATCAAAGTGCAATCGGCAATGCGCGGATGTCTTGTTCGGGGTGGGCTGTGGCAGGCAAAACTCAAGTTTGTAGAGCGAAGGATATTACCGAAGGTGCAAGCACGCGTACGTGGGGTTTTAGTGCGAAAGCACATCGCAGCGGGGAAGAGGCATCAGCTAGAAGACCACGCGACATGGGTAATTGGCCGTGTCTATCGCGGCTTGCAGGTTCGACGGATGTTAAAACACGCCAAGCGAGTTCGTCAAATCAGGGAACATGAAGACGAAGCTGCTCTTATTTTTCAGAAGATTTTTCGCGGTTATCGTGATCGCAAACTCGTAGCGAACATGCGATACGACGTCTACTGCGAGCAGCAGTTCCGATCTCGATTGTTGGCCATGCAGAGCTTGGCTGCCACGAAGTTGCAACGTGCTTACCGGGGACATCGTGGACGGTCCGATACCGCAATGCTACGCTCAATTAAACAAGCACAACGCCTTCAGCATGAGCGAGAAGTTCGTTCAGCAGCGTACCTTCAAAGAGTATATCGAGGTCACAAAGGCCGAATGATTCGAGCTCAACGACTTGCAGAGTTGCTCCTCGAGAAACAATGTCACCAGGGCGCCATCAAAATGCAAAAAGTATTCCGTGGTCACCAAGCGCGGCGGCACGCGGTAATTTTGCGAGCGGAAGCAAATCAACTGCGGATATATAACGCTGCTCTGACGATTCAGAGGTACTGGCGAGGCATTCGCGACAAACATTTGGCTGCGGTACTGACCGGATTAATCAAGCTGCGTGCCCGTGAGAACGAGGCTGCCCATTCAATTCAGGCCGCTTATCGTGTGCACGCCTCCCGAGGATTCATGAAGGCGATGAAGTTGGCTGTAGCGTCACAATTGAGACGAGTGAAAGCTGCAACCGATATTCAATGCTTGATACGAGGTCACCGTGGACGAGCTGAGGCGGAGCTGTGGCGAGAGTTACAGCGCTTCCGCCACCAAGCAAAGCCGCTGTTTGCGAAAGAATCACGCTTGCAGTCTCTGGCGGTTGATTTAAATGATAAAGTGGAGCAGCTACAGCGCAAAATTACTGTTAACGAAGCCGACGAGCGCTCATTGATGCTAGAAGTCGAGAAAACGCTTCAGATTAATTCGAAATATCACGACTCAAGCCGGATCACCGGCACACCGCAACGCTATCTAACGCAATACCTTCAAGTGCAGCTTGCAGACCAGCTACGAGCAAAGCGAACCGAAATCGCACTCGATGAGCAGGTATTCGAGACATTGACGACAAATATGAGTGACACTCAGAAGCAGTTGCGAGGCATTAGGCGACAACTCGAACCACTAACTCAGGGTGTCATCAAGAAAACTCGCGAAAATCGGGTGAAGCGACTTCAAGACAAGGTTCGTCATGAACGCCGCGCAGCAATCACAATTCAGAGGTTATTCCGGGGCTTTCGAGTAAGAGCCGCAGTACGAGAGGGTGGCAATTGCTGGATTCAAATGGTATCACCCGATAATGGCCGGCCCTATTTCTACAATGTGCTGACAGGTGCTACTCGCTGGCATCGCCCATTAGCAATGGACATCTTTAGAGATGAATTTGCAGAGCCCATGACTGGGTCTACTGAAGTACCAGCACCTGCAACCGAGAACGCTGTTCAATCTCACTGTAGTCGTCCTAGTTTTTCTGATCAACAAAGCACCAACGGAAACAAACAGGAGGCCTCTTCGTGCAACTGGTATGAAGCTTTTGATGACAAAATTCAAGCCCCGTACTACTTTAACAGCCAAACTAAGGAATACCAGTGGGATAAACCCGATACTATTGAAAATGCGTACTTCACCGACACTCAGGCATCTCGAAAACGACAGGATTGGCTCCAAGAACAGCTACATAACCGCGAAGGCTTGCTAGCAAGTACACAAGTCCGTTTACCTGTGTTAGGCCAGTGGGAACGACGTGTCGACCCATTCACCGAGTATATTATCTTCTACCATCCGCCGACAGGGATGATTAAAGCCTCGCTGTCACCCCGTAGTGTCCATGCATCGCTTGGGGATAAGACGATGAGCTTGCGCCGTTCAGCTCGCAGCACCGGAACCTCTCGATCGCTTCATTGGCAGTATCGATATGGATACGAATACGATGCTAACGGTAACCTTGTCACGAGTTCGAGATCTCAGCCACGACCTATTTGGACCGAGTACACCGATCCAGACAATGGCATGGCCTACTACTTCAACGCACTCACCAGCGACTACCGATGGGAAAAACCTGAAGATTTCGAGATCAGCTGCGACGCATTCGGCAGTGGACGAAGTGCAACTTCCTCCGCTCGTAAATGGTTCGAAATGGTCCACCAAAAGGTTAATGACGATGGTAGCAATTATCTCACACCTCAATCATCAAAGTCACGCACCCTTGGTAAGAAGTGGGTCGAGCATATCAATCCTGAGACTCAATACACATACTACTACAATGAGGTGACAGGGGAATCGAGATGGTCTCTATCACCTCGTAGCGCTCGAGACACTTCCGATACGGAAGATCAAATCTCTTTGGCTCTGTTTGCACAAGTGAAGCAGCTTCGTCAGTCTCCGGTGCCATATACGTCGCGGGACCAGCATATGAGCTGGTTAGAAGCAGCTATCATTGGGAAGGACTGGATAAAAGCTGAGGCGATCGTCCAGCAGATTTTCATTCGTGAGCAGAGCCAGGTAGTGACCGAGCGGAAGGCAAGAGAGGAAGAAGCGAAGTTATCAATGGTATCAAGCGGGGTGGTGGAGATTAAAACTCCTGATGACCTTGCTATATCTCCAAGCGCTTGGATCGACTATCGAGACCAAAGTAGTGGTGCCACGTACTACTACAACCGAGAAACAGGAGAAACAAGCTGGAGCAAACCGGCAATAGCGTTCGATACTGCTTTCACAAGTCAATGGCAAGAGAGGCAGGACAGTAATTGTACAACATACTACTACGACCTCATGACTGGCGATACGGCATGGTCAAAGCCAACATGACAACGATTGCTTTATTCGCTACTACAGCTACTCAGAAATCCTAGTGAGTATCGCCTTGGTAACTTAATCCAGTCCACCCACACAAACCATTTTCGTTTCCTGGTACTCTTCCAGGCCCATAAATGAACCCTCACGTCCAAGCCCAGATTGCTTCACACCGCCGAACGGAGCTTGCACGTTCGAGATGACACCCGTGTTGACTCCGATCATACCGCAATCCAAAGCGGCAGCAACACGCCAAGTGCGAGACAGATTCTGCGAGAAAAAGTAGCCTGCGAGGCCAGCCTCCGTTCCGTTGGCCATCTTGATTACCTCCTCCTCCGTAGAGAACTTGAATAGCGGGACAACAGGCCCGAAAATTTCCTCGCTCCACACACGCATCGTGTTATCGACGTGGGCCAGCACAGTTGCCTCGAAGAAATTGCGTCCGATGTCACTGGGCTTACCACCAACAAGAGCCGTTGCCCCGTTCGTGACCGCATCTTCCACCAGCTCCGACGTCTTCAGGAAGGCGTTGGGGCCAATCAGTGGGCCGAGCTTCACGCCTTCCTCCCGAGGTGGGCCCATCTTGAGCTTCTTGACACGCTCTACGAGTTTGGCTGCGAATTCGTCGTAGATGTTAACGTGAATGAAGATGCGGTTGCTGCACACGCACGTCTGGCCGGTGTTGCGGAACTTGGAGTCCATCAGTCCATCCAGTGCCTTGTCAATGTCGGCGTCTTCGAACACAATGAACGGGGCATTGCCTCCAAGCTCGAGCGACACGCGCTTGACAGTCTCGGCTGACTGCTCCATCAGCAGCTTGCCGACACGTGTGGAGCCTGTGAATGAAATCTTGCGGATGTCGTGGCTACTGGTCAGAGCCCCACCGACCTCGGCCGCCTTGCCATTGGGAGACGGCACCACGTTGATGACACCAGCCGGAATACCGACGTCTTCGGCCAACTTGGCCAGTGCCAAGGCGGACAGCGGCGTCTCAGCCGCTGGCTTCACCACGGCTGTGCAACCGGCCGCCAGACATGGGCCTAGCTTACGAGTGATCATGGCGAGCGGGAAATTCCAAGGCGTGATGATGCCGCATACGCCCACGGGTTCTTTAATGGCCATGATCTTGTGGTCAGGTGCTGACGAGGAGGGCAAAAAACCGCTCGAGTGCATAATCTCGTGCGCGTAGAAGTCGATGAAGCCGGCAGCGTAAGCCACTTCTCCCTTGGCTTCAGGTAGTGGTTTGCCGCTCTCAACGGAGGCGATGACAGCCAGGTCCTCCGTGCTGGCCACGATGGCCGCATGCCATTTCTTGAGCAGCACGGAGCGGGACGCTGGCGTGGTTTTGCGCCATTTCTTCTGAGCTGCCAGTGCGGCTGCAATGGCTTCGTTGGTCTCGACGCGGCCCATGTTGGCGACACGCGCAATCTCCGTGTTGGTGGAAGGATCGATCACTGCGAAGTGCTTGTTGGAGTGAGCCTCGACCCATTTGCCATTGATCAGTCCCCCGGACTGGATAAGCTCCTTGTTGTGCACCTCCGAGTGGAAGAAGCGTCGTGAAGCGGTCGGCAGGACAGAACGGTGGATCTTGGAAGACATCATCACGAAAAGACGCTGCACTTTAGTTTTGTTCAGCAAATTAGGAACTGAGACCTGTAGCGAAGGATGTTGACTCAAGCAAAGAAAGAGAAATGTGCGAGCGTACGCACCAAAATGGGACACTCTTTGGGGTTTTGCTGTCTGCAGCAGCTTAATAAAACCAATATTAACGTCTATTATAAGCAGTAGATAATTTCTACTATTTCGTGCTCATATTATGAGCACGAAACTTGTTGGCGGACAACGGACTGTACGATTACCGTGGCGCCATTTGATTGGAACACCTATGGAATAGTAGCCCCGGCCTGTATGAATTGTATTGTGATGTCAGTGTACATGTAGCTGGGCGGCCATTTTATTTACAATTTTGAAAAAACGATAAATAACAAATTAGACTCCAAACTCTAAGATCAGAAGCTGACAGCTAATAATACGCATCGGGAAAAGCGTGTACACTTGCGTCCGCTCGCCCAATGGTGTCTAATAGACATTGGTGGCGGGCGGGCGGGTCCATTATTATTTTGAAAAAGAAAAAAATATTAAGACACAGTAACAGCTAAAAAGTCAATGTGCGAGCGTACAGTACATCATAAATTGGGTAAGATTTGAGTGTTGACCATGGAGCCTGAAAATTCGGCTCCCTTTTCAAGTGGGCAATTTAAACTAATTTTCTTGGTAGTGCTACGAGTAGAACCCAATAGGGATTAATTCGAGTAGATGTGCGCACACCAATAGTAGGTATTGATTCGATACAAATTTCAAATGAGAAGGTTTTATTTTTCTACCAATTTGTATAAACTTCACAGGTTTCACTCCAAGGCATGGGTATAAACTTATAGAAACTTGGTGTACGAAAGAAAATATTGCTTACTTTACAAATGCTTGGAGATGTTTTTTTAGAAAATTTACTTTTTCAGTTTTTCATACATGGTAGGTGTTGTGCTAGAATATCAGATCTTAATAACTATAAAGAGGTCTGTAAACAAAGCTGTCGAGGCCCACAGCGGTATTATCCGTCCACCTCTAGCCCTTGTTCAGTAGAAGCTGCAGTGGTTTCAATGCCTTGCTGCTGCCACTTGACGCAGCATCGAGACGCTGAGGATCCTGGACATGGTGATTTTGGAGCTCTCGGTATTTTTCGCGAAATGATAAGTCCGCTCGTATGTGTCGTTAGGCCGTATCGGGCCAGCCGCCGCGGGCGTCACTAGTGGTGGACTCGACCGGCCCAAAACTCCCCCAAGCGAGATAAGTAAATAAGTGGACGATAAGTAGACGAGCAGAAGAGTAGAGGTTCATGTAAGTAGAGCAAAGATAACCGCAGCAGCTCACTTGACGCCGCGGCGACGAAATATAGTGCCCTCGGGCGGTGGTCGTCGCAGCTGGTGAGCTCGCTGAGAAATTGTGGTTGTGGGCTTTTGAAAGAAACAATCTTTCCGGTGATAGAAAATGATAACCTCACTCAAATCGTATTGCCTTTCTTAAACAGATTTACAAATTCTGGATGTGCTGGAGTTTAGTGTGGTAATGTATCTATGATTGTCAGAGCAGATACGGTAAAATTCAACCGATTTACAAGTGATCGAGTCTAGTTTTAAAAATAAGGTGTTGAAATCTGGAAAATGTAGAGCAGCAAGAAGAAAAAAAACACTCAGGACAACAAATCCCTCCCGGCTGATTGGAAATGACTACGAATGTGTAAGTTTTCATTAAAAGTAGTGCGTTTAAGAGAACGAAAGACCCCGCTGATGGTAAGGGAGCTGGTGCGAGGCCTTTGGCTTTCCAGGGTTACTAGCGCTGCGCAGCAGCACTACCAGCCCAACCCTCTAGTTTTTAATAAGACTAAATTCCAATAGGTGACTCGATTCGAAAATAGAGGTCTTTAAAAGAAACCACAATTCTGCTTTTGTCGGTTTGTCAAGACCTAAACGCTGAAAATCATACGGTAAACCGCAAATTTGAAAGGAAATTACGTTTTGTGGATTACATTTTACGCTTCTGTGAAAGAGCTAAATAAAAATTTCTGTCTTGTAAAACTGAGCGGGAGAGATCATACACCGACAGGCAAAAGGCACGCAGTTGAATGGCACAGCAAACTTCTTCTTACAACTCCAACGAGGTCCCTGGCAATCAGTAAAGGCTACATATCATGAACCTACAGTTTTCTGATTCTGACTTCGCTCACTACATCCGGAACCTCACGAAAGGCGTACCACGACAACAAAAAATGCCTTTCTTCTCCGGCGCTGGCAGCATGCTATTGGGATTGGATGCTTTAATGAAGCCGTCATACTCCGAGCGTATTTGGAGTCAGTCATTCCCGATGACGTTGAAAAGCCTCCCTGCGTGCCGTTCAACTTCAACGCGTTGTCATCAGAAGACTGTATGCAGAAATTTCGCTTTTCAAAGGACCAGCTTATTACTTTGGTGATCGCTATAAGCTCGAGGGCATTAGCACCACTGAAGGAACAGCAGCAACTGGAATTGAAGCTTTGTGTGTGATGTTGTACAAACTAGCAATTCCGACGCGTTGGGTGGATATGAGTTCTTGGCGGACGATCGGATAGTGGTCTGTCGAATATCTTCATGTGCATGAGTAATTACTTGGACACAAAGTACACTGAGTTAATCGCATTTAGCCGTGAATATGCAGTCATGCATTTGGAGGGGTATGCAGAGGCCGTTTTCAAAAAAGGCGCACATTTTTCGAACGTGTGGAGTTTTATTGATGGAACTGCCCGGGGTATCTGCAGGCCAGGTCCCCGCAACATCGATTGAGACGGCTTTCACATGAGTCAACAAGCAGTGTATAATGGTCACCGCAGAAGCACACCCTAAAATTCCAGACGTTGACCACGCCTGACGGATAAATTTCTCATCTTTATGGCCCCTTTCCCCGTAGAATCACGACATAACTTTATATCGCCACTCAAAGCTCTCTGAGAAGATTCGCAGCGGTGAAAGATTTCTTAATTATCGGATATTTGAAGAACATGCTTATGGACATGACGATGTACTGTGCTGTCCGTTTGGAGGGGCTACTCTCACTGCTGACGAGCAATTAGTCAACGCCAGCATGACTAAGGTACGTGCAGCAGGGCTGCCGTAGCTTTCGCGTCAGAGGAAGATGTTCGACTCAAAAAGTCCCTAATACTAAGGTTCTTACCCAAAGGAGCTTACAGCCCAAGACCAGGCTCAAAGTTAATACCTTAACTTTTATGCTTCAAAACCAGAGGTGTTTTATTTACTATTATAACGGCCAAGCCACCTAGGAGAAACTGTATCTGTTTAACTATCTAGCATAGTTAAACCTAATCAAATGCATAACGTGTGGCTTTCGGCCAACGTACTGAGAGACCTTGTTAATTTTCCAACTTATGTACTGAGAGTTTGTTTTCAACTCTACGGGTACTTCGTACCCCTGTGTGTTCCACACCATGTAACCCCGTTACACCACTGATCCTCCACGGGTGGTCGTACCCAACAACGAGGATCTGAAGTTCGACATCCTCGCGGAGGCGCATGACGCGCCCTCCAGCGGCCACTTGGGCCGCGAGAAGACCTTTCTGTCGGTCTCTCAGTCCTTCTGGTGGACCCACATGTACAAGTGGGTCGCCCGGTACGTCAAGACATGTGAAACATGTCAGCGGGTCAAACCCGCAAAGCACTCTTCGGCTCCACTACAGAGCCTGCCCGTACCGGCTGATTGTTGGAAGTCGATGAGTCTTGACTTCATCTTTGGGCTCTTCGGGGCTGAGCCCCGTTGCCCTCTACCTCCTCGAGGTACAACAGAACTCAGTTCTTCCCCAGTAGGCCGCCCCGCGCCTACTGGAAATGCCGTTTCCCGGCGATGACCCGTAGTGTTGGCTCGCCGGAGCCACGCGCTTCTTGCGCAGAGGGCAATATGCCCTCAAGTGCTTAGTGCTATTGCACACAAAGCATCGGCGGATGCCGGCACGCTGCTCCGCAGCGAGAAGCTCCGCTTCTTCATCTTCAGCATAGCTGAGGTCCATCGGCTCTGGACCGCTCGAAGAGCTTGCGCTCCAACCAGGTCGAGCCGACCTGACGTTGTGCTCGGCATTCAATGCCACATCCACCGTCTCTTCGAAAAAAACTAGGGTGTACACGGAACACTTCCGTTCGAGCTGCGCTCACGCGAAGTCCCTCCATGAACACGGTCACACTGACCAGTTCTGGAAGAGGGTCCGCCGCCATTCCGGCGATAAGAGTTCTCAACTCTTGGACATAGTCCAATAACTCTTTCTTACCCTGGCGGGTAGCAAGGAACTTCGACCGGACACGGTACGCCTGATTAGGCGGCGCGAACACGCGCGAAAGCTGTTGCTTCAGCTGATCCCAAGTGGGAAATGCAGCGTCAACAGACGTGCCGCACGTTAGTGCCCATTCGCGAGCGCGACCTCCAAGCCTGGAGATAGCCAGCGCCACGCGCTGATGCTCAGACTGGAGCAGGGCCGATCCCATGGCCATCTCGACCTCACGTGTCCAGAGAAGGAGATTCTCTCCACCCTTCACCTCGAAGGTTTTTACGCTCAGCATGAGCGGTTTCAGTCTCATAGACTCTTTACGCGTCATCGACGCCGCCGCCGTTGCGGCGCTCATCTTCTCTTGGACGTGCTCCAAGAGCGCGTTATCGTAGCGGGAGAATGATTCCAGCCTGGAGGCGACCGCCTCTGGACCTTGCGATGCAAGATGAGCCACGCCCTCCGGGCCAAGCAAGGACATAAGCTTAGTAAGCGCGCCCTGCTGTGCCGGGGGCAAATTCGCGAACATGGGGTGTTCCATCCTCGCAGAGGATATACTCAACCGACTCAGGAGCGGGATTGACTACAAGTGCTACCAAGTGCAGCGGGGCTGCCATAGCTTTAGCGTCAGAGGAAGATGTTCGACTCAAAAAGTCCCTAATACTAAGGTTCTTACCCAAAGGAGCTTACAGCCCAAGACCAGGCTCAAAGTTAATACCTTAACTTTTATGCTTCAAAACCAGAGGTGTTTTATTTACTATTATAACGGCCAAGC